AGAGTCTACATGCACTGTGAGTGGACTAGTGGCCACGGGAGGTAATGACAGGGGAGTCAGCCTGCAGTGCGAATGGACTAGTGGCCACCGGAGGTAATGACAGGGGAGTCAGCCTGCAGTGTGAATGGACTAGTGGCCACGGGAGGTAATGGCAGGGGAGTCAGCCTGCAGTGCGAATGGACTAGTGGCCACAGTAGGTAATGACAGGGGAGTCAGCCTGCAGTGCGAATGGACTGGTGGCCTTGGGAGGTAATGACAGGAGAGTCAGCCTGCAGTGTGAATGGACTAGTGGCCACGGGAGGTAATGACAGGGGAGTCAGCCTGCAGTGCGAATGGACTGGTGGCCTTGGGAGGTAATGACAGGGGAGTCAGCCTGCAGTGTGAATGGACTAGTGGCCACGGGAGGTAATGACAGGAGAGTCAGCCTGCAGTGCGAAGGGACTGGTGGCTACGAGTGGTAATGACGGGTATCAGCTGTGAGTGCGAAGGGACTGGTGGCCATGGGAGGTAATGACAGGGGAGTCAGTTGTGAGTGCGAAGGGACTGGTGGCCACGGTAGGTAATGACAGGGGAGTCAGCCTGCAGTGCGAATGGACTAGTGGCCACAGTAGGTAATAACAGGGGTATCAGTTGCGACTGCGAATGGACTGGTGGCTACGGGAATGATCTAGAAGGGAGCGTGGTCAGGTGACGGAAGAGGACGGTGGAGTCTGCCGGTGGAGCGAGCGTCCAGAGTCAGCGAGAAGGTTCGAGAAGGGGGGCGTGGCCTCGTGTCGGTATAAAAGGGAAACGCGCGGGAGACTCGGGGCTGTTGCAGTGGGGGTCTCCGACTGATGTCAAGTGGAACGTGCCTTCAATGACGTGTGTCAAGTGACTACACGAGGAGGGCAGAGCTGCAAAGCGATGCGTTTATTGCAGAGGTCGCAACCGGGTACCCGATACCCGATACCCGTACCCTACCCGATACCCAGCTACCCGTACCCGGCCGGGTACGGGTAACCTTTTGCGACCCTGGTGTGGCCGGGTACGGGTACGGGTAGGCCGTGAGTCACTGGTGAGTAACCGTTTGTCACTCATTTCGGGTAGGGTACGGGTAAGGAACGGGTACCCGTAGCCGGCCGGGTACGGGTACCCATTTGCGACCCTGGTGCGGCGGTGTACGGGTAAGGAATCAAAACCCGTTTGCGACCTCTGGTTTATTGAGACACTGCCCACTGCGGGTGGAATGGCAGAACCCATCGTGGACGCCTGCATCGACACTCGGCAAGATGCTCGCTCGGCGCCCCCACATGGACACGATGTGCAAAGGGCAACGCCGCGCCATGCACGATAGGCTTCCGTTTGCTAAAAAAAAGACAAGAGTAGGCGTTTGCCCCATTCTGGCGATGGAACAGGAGTTGTGTTAAGATGTTCAAACACACGTAGGAACCTTTATGCAAGGAATCAAGTGACTGCAACACGTTGTCCTGCTGCGGAGGGAGCTGGTAGGAACGTTGGGTTGCTCGGTCAATGGCCTGCAGGGTCAACAGCGGCGTGGTGTATTCCGCAAATATGCCCGACTGTGAGGGCGGGCACAAGCCGGCGTGAGTAGGTGAAACGTTGAGTTTTATAAGGGCACCACGGGGTGACCAGCCCCTCCCCACCCAGCCCCACCCCTCCCATCCAGCCCCACCCTCCCCACCCAGCCCCTCTCCACCCAGCCCCACCCCTCCTAAACCTCCCCACCCAGCCCCTCCCCACCCTCCCCACCCAGCCCCTCTCCACCCAGCCCCACCCCTCCCAACCCTCCCCACCCAGCCCCTCCCCACCCAGCCCCTCCCCACCCTCCCCACCTAGCCCCTCCCCACCCTCCCCTCTCCACCCAGCCCCACCCCTCCCATTTTTGGATGCACGACGGACGGACAGAATAATTCCCTGTGGGCTGGTGTAACCAGGTTCCTACCAGTACAAGGCTGCTGTCTTTGGTGTAGGCCAATCAGCCTCACAGACAACGCATCACATATTTTCTACCAGTGCCATGTTTGTGTTTGCATGTTCACCAGAATAACAGTGCGTGCGGTAACTTGATGAATTGCAAATCGTACCTATTTTGTGTGCGAACATCTTAACACCTGTTTTTATTACCAGATAGGGTAACATCTCATTCTTATTTTTCAAACTTTGTCCCATGATATAACCTCGACATCAGGACAGGTGCCAATTCAGGAGACACAGGACTTGATTACTGCCTATACAGTATTTATTTTCAAAGGTTGTGCCTTGTTGGAATGTATGTTGAACTTTTTTCACACCTTACATAGCCATCCGTGCTAATCGGAGGTGCAGTGTTGAGTCTATGGGTAGTGTTGAGTCTATGGGTAGTGTTGAGTCAATGGGTAGTGTTGAGTCTATGGGCAGTGTTGAGTCTATGAGCAGTGTTGAGTCTATGGGCAGTGTTGAGTCTATGGGTAGTGTTGAGTCTATGGGCAGTGTTGAGTCTATGAGCAGTGTTGAGTCTATGGGCAGTGTTGAGTCTATGGGTAGTGTTGAGTCTATGGGCAGTGTTGAGTCTATGGGCAGTGTTGAGTCTATGGGCAGTGTTGAGTCTATGGGCAGTGTTGAGTCTATGGCAGTGTTGAGTCTATGGGCAGGTGAGTCTATGGGTCAGTGTTGAGTCTATGGGTAGTGTTGAGTCTATGGGTAGTGTTGAGTCTATGGGCAGTGTTGAGTCTATGGGCAGTGGTTGAGTCTATGGCAGTGTTGAGTCTATGGGTATGTTGAGTCTATGGGTAGTGGTTGAGTCTATGGGCAGTGTTGAGTCTATGGGCAGTGTTGAGTCTATGGGTAGTGTTGAGTCTATGGGCAGTGTTGAGTCTATGAGCAGTGTTGAGTCTATGGGCAGTGTTGAGTCTATGGTGCAGTGTTGAGTCTATGGGTAGTGTTGAGTCTATGAGCAGTGTTGAGTCTATGGTGCGGTGTTGAGTCTATGGGTAGTGTTGAGTCTATGGGTAGTGTTGAGTCTGTGGGAAGTTGAGTCTATGGGCAGTGTTGAGTCTATGGGTAGTGTTGAGTCTATGGGCAGTGTTGAGTCTATGGGCAGTGTTGAGTCTATGGGCAGTGTTGAGTCTATGGGCAGTGTTGAGTCTATGAGCAGTGTTGAGTCTACGGGCAGTGTTGAGTCTATGGGCAGTGTTGAGTCTACGGGCAGTGTTGAGTCTATGGGTAGTGTTGAGTCTATGGGCAGTGTTGAGTCTATGGGCAGTGTTGAGTCTATGGGTAGTGTTGAGTCTATGGGCAGTGTTGAGTCTATGGGCAGTGTTGAGTCTATGAGCAGTGTTGAGTCTATGGGCAGTGTTGAGTCTATGGGCAGTGTTGAGTCTATGAGCAGTGTTGAGTCTATGGGCAGTGTTGAGTCTATGGGCAGTGTTGAGTCTATGGGCAGTGTGAGTCTATGGGTAGTAGTAGGTTTTTACCCTTTTAACTGGTACAAAACTGACACCTTTTGTACCAGTTAAAAGGGTAAAAACCTACTATTATATTTTGCCACTGGTAAAAGAGATCTCATAGTGTCTATGGGTAGTGTTGTCTATGGGCAGTATGAGTGTCCATGTTTAACTTCTTTTGCACCGTACGCAGCTGTGCTACGCGGCGGTGCGGGGGAAGGACAACAAACTAAACACAAGAAGCAGTTCTCAAGAAATGAGTTTCGTCAATCCAGACGACGATGATTTACAAGTGCATCACAGCTCCCAGTGGCTTCCAAACATCGGAAGGGAAGAGCGTTCCAGACGGCCGCAGAAGCAGCGCGTCTTGAAATCGCCGCGCGATGCAGCGGTGACCGCCGTGGTGATGGTTCATGCGCCCTGACGAGATCGGCGAGTTTAAAAAAAAAACGAAACCAAAGGGCAGTTTTCTTTTTTCGTCGTCACGTTTTTATTTTTGTCTGACAAAATAAACAGGGCACACGCCGCGAACCCCCTACGCTTATCGGAACTCTAGTGGCGAGCGCGGAGGCTGAACCTCAGCGTCTCCCCCCCCCCACGCCGCCTCTTGAAGCCATCCGCTGCGATTCCGTAGCAATCTGCCGAATTTGCATTCGCAAGATATGGAGAAAGGCAACAAGTATAACCCGTAAAAACAAAGTTTTTCACTATAAATCCTTTATATGCGTGGCGGCTAGAGTCCTCTCGTCCTCTGGCTTGAGATGGCTGCCACCTATGGGTCAGATGATTGTCTGCCAGTATTAAGCAATTGGTAATTAAATATTTAATTTGTTTTCCCTAAACAGTGTAAAATTTTGGAACAAATTTTTCACGAACATTAATTGTCTCGCACAACGAGTCTGTGTGCAAAATGTCAGCTCGATTGGATCACGGGAAGTGGGTTAAAAAAACGACCGAAAGATTTGCACGGTCGTAAGCAAGCAAGCACGCACGCAAGCAAGCAAGCAAGCGAACTTAATATAAAGGATTAAAAAAAAATCAAGCCAATAAATGCAATAAACTGCCGAGAAGAAAATCCAAACCAGGGTAATGACTACTCAACTACGACCCGGGCCTTGCAAACAGCATTCGGCACGTGTAAATTAAAATGGAATTTGTCTTAAGATCTGGACTATAATTAAGTAATAGCAAAAAAAAAATTGTAGATGGTTTTTTTTAACACGTAGGCTTTCGCAACCAATATTATTCATAATCAACGTTTTTGGGTTTAGATCGCGTTATTTATAAATGTGTCGTAACCCTCCACCACCCGACACGGCCAATCAGTAAAAAAGTGTCACGTTGACAAAAAACAAATAGTTCACTGCTTTAGCCCACCGGCGTTTTGAAGCGTGAAACCACAACATTTACACTTTGATGTTGTGGTTTCACGCTTCAACACACCGGTGGGCTAAAGCAGTGAACTATTTGTCTTTTGTCAACGTGACACTTTTTTACTGATTGGCCGTGTCGGGTGGTGGAGGGTTACGACACATTTATAAATAACGCGATCTAAACCCAAAAACGTTGATTATGAATGTTTTTTTTTGTGTACAGCCATTGGTGGCAGGCCGGGATCCACGACTCCAGAAGCTGGTTGAGAAACAGGCGGCCGGCTCCTGGACTCGAACCCAGGCTCTCGGTGGTACAGGCTCGGCAACTCTGACCTCAAAGCTGCCCGCCACCCTGAACAACCGATCTTAACCAGCGAATCATTATCGCCGTTTGTTGTATGGAATGTTGAGCTTCTTTCACACCGCACGTGGCCAACTGCGCTAATCGGAGGTGCAGTGTTGAGGCTATGGGCAGTGTTGAGTCTATGGGCAGTGTTGAGTCTATGGGTGGTGTTGAACCTATGGGCGGTCTTGAGTCTATGGGCGGTGATGAGTGAATGGGCAGCGTTGAGTGAATGGGCAGCGTTGAGTCTATGGGCAGTGTTGAGTCTATGGGCAGTGTTGAGTCTATGGGCAGTGTTGAGTCTATGGGCAGTGTTGAGTCTATGGGCAGTGTTGAGTCTATGGGCAGTGTTGAGTCTATGGGCAGTGTTGAGTCTATGGGTAGTGTTGAGTCTATGGGCAGTGTTGAGTCTATGGGCAGTGTTGAGTCTATGGGTAGTGTTGAGTCTATGGGTAGTGTTGAGTCTATGGGCAGTGTTGAGTTTATGGGCAGTGTTGAGTCTATGGGCAGTGTTGAGTCTATGGGCAGTATGTGTGTATGTATGCTGAACTTCCTTTCCCACTGTACGGAGCCACCCGTACACACATTGATCCGACCAGCATTGCAACAGGTGCCTGTGGCACGGCCGTGGGATGTGGAGGAGGTTGAACGCGTTGGGCAAGCGAGGAGGCACGGAGGGGCAGAGGTCGCAAACGGGTTTTGATTCCTTACCCGTACCCGGTCGCACCAGGGTCGCAAATGGGTACCAGTACCCGGCCGTACCCGTACCCTACCCGTACCCGGTCGGGTACGGGTAGGGTACGGGTATTGGGTACCTGTTTGCGACCTCTGGGATGAAGCCATGTTGCAGGCGCGGGTGGGTTGATTCTAGGAACTTGAATTGTGAGAAGAGACAAGACGTTGGGAAATGAGTGACAAACGGTGACTCACCAGTGACTCACGGTCTACCCGTACCCGGCCGCACCAGGGTCGCAAACGGGTACCCGTACCCGGCCGGGTATCGGGTAGGGTACGGGTATCGGGTACCCGGTTGCGACCTCTGCGGAGGGCAGGGGCATCAACGGTTTTCGCCGAGATGAGATCTCCATCATCCCCATCACCATCCTCACCAATAATAATAATAACCGCCACGGTGCCTGTGCCAGGCTCGGTGGGCTTTGAGACCACGTGAAGTGTCGAAGGCTCGCTGACAGGAGGTCATGGGACAGACTCGGGTGCCACGGGTCGACCGACTGAGATGAGTGGCCGATGCACCACCTGTGCCCCCTACTGTGCCAACTCGCTGAGTTTTAGCCGCCCGGCGCTCCGCTCGTTGTTGTGAGCGTCGCTCCTGTTGCTGGAGGGCGACTGCCTCCAACTGCCCAGTAGTAGCGTCCTTAACGAGCCTCCTCCTCCATAGAAGCTGATACGAAAAAACTAAGACTACCCCATACAGCCTGAACAGACTGTTGGGGCAAGTGCTGTGAGCGAGCACCTATGAAGGCCGGGTGGTCAGTACCACGCCCGGCCGCCTTTGTCTCCTGAGTGGCAAAATTTACACACCACGCTAGGTACTCGTTTAAGGCTGAGTCGACCTAGGGAAGGCCAAGGACCGCTTCAGATAATTGTCACTGGTGTTGGCCGTGAGCGGGTATGGAACTCGGTCCGCTGGGTTCGTAGCGCAGCACGTTAACCGCTACACCACCGCTCCCCCCACACACACACACACACCACCACTCCCCACACACGCACACACACACCACCGCTCCCCACACACGCACACACACACCACCGCTCCCCACACACTCACACACACCACCGCTCCCCACACACACACCACCGCCACACACCCACCACCGCTCCCCACACACACACCACCGCTCCCCCCACACACACACACACACCACCGCTCCCCACACACACCACCGCTCCCACACACGCACACACACAACCGCTCCCCCACACACACCACCGCTCCCCACACACACACACCCACAACCGCTCCCCACACACACAACCGCTCCCCCACGCACACGCACACCACCGCTCCCCACACACGCACACACACACCACCGCTCCCCACACACATATACACACCACCGCTCCCTTCACACCACCGCTCCCCACACACTCACACACACACCACCGCTCCCCACACACTCACACACACAACCGCTCCCCCACACACACCACCGCTCCCCACACACGCACACACACACCACCGCTCCCCACACACACATACACACACCACCGCTCCCCCCACACACACATACACACCACCGCTCCCCACACACACACATACACACCACCGCTCCCCACACACACATACACACACCACCGCTCCCCACACACACATACACACCACCGCTCCCTTCACACCACCGCTCCCCACACACACCACCGCTCCCCACACACACACATACACACCACCGCTCCCCACACACACACATACACACCACCGCTCCCCACACACACCACCGCTCCCCACACACACATACACACACCACCGCTCCCCACACACACATACACACCACCGCTCCCTTCACACCACCGCTCCCCACACACACCACCGCTCCCCACACACACATACACACACCACCGCTCCCCACACACGCACACACACACCACCGCTCCCCACACACACATACACACCACCGCTCCCTTCACACCACCGCTCCCCACACACACCACCGCTACACACACACCACCGTACGCGCGAGTTCCACCCTGTCACTCGGCGCCCTCCATGGCAACGATGCGCGCCTCGGCCCGTACGCGGTGCGGCCCCTCCCGCGCGTGCGCTCGCAGCCTCAGCACCGCGGGGCCCCCCAGCGTTCCCGGGGCTGTGGCCGACTCGGCCAGCGCCCGCACCAGCGCGTGCCGGGCCTCGCGCGCCTCCTTGCCGGGTCCCGGCGAGCGATCCGTGAGGAACTCGACGAAGCCCGGGGAGTCCGACATGAGGCGCTGGGCCCACGGCTGCCCTGCGATCGCCTGAGAGGTAAGCAGGTGAGGGTTAGGGTGAGGGTGTGGGTGAGGGTGTGGTTAGGGCGCGGGTTAGGGTGCGGGTGAGGGTGTGGGTGAGGGTGTGGGTGAGGGTGTGGGTGTGCGTGAGTGTGTGGGTGAGGGTGAGGGTGTGGGTGAGGCTGTTGGTTATGGTGTGGGTGAGGGTGTGGGTGAGGGTGTGGGTTAGGGCGCGGGTTAGGGTGTGGGTTAGGGGGTGGGTTAGGGGGTGGGTGAGGGTGTGAGTTAGGGTGTGGGTTAGGGTGTGGGTGAGGGTGTGGGTTAGGGTGTGGGTTAGGGTGTAGGTTAGGGTGTGGGTTAGGGTGCGGGTAAGGGTGTGGGTTAGGGTGTAGGTTAGGGTGCGGGTTAGGGAGCGGGTTAGGGTGTGGGTTCGGGTGTGGGTTAGGGTGGGTAAGGGTGTGGGTTAGGGAGTGGGTTAGGGTGTGGGTTAGGGTGTGGGTTAGGGGGTGGGTTAGGGTGTGGGTTAGGGTGTGGGTTAGGGTGTGGGTGAGGGTGTGGGTTAGGGTGTGGGTTAGGGTGTGGGTTAGGGTGTGGGTTAGGGTGTGGGTTAGGGTGTGAGTTAGGGTGTGGGTTAGGGTGTGGGTGAGGGTGTGGGTTAGGGTGTGGGTTAGGGTGCGAGTGAGGGTGTGGGTGAGGGTGTAGGTGAGGGTGTGGGTGAGGGTGTAGGTGAGGGTGTGGGTGAGGGTGTGGTTAGGGTGTGGGTTAGGGTGTGGGTTAGGGTGTGGGTGAGGGTGTGGGTTAGGGTGTGGGTTAGGGTGTGGGTGAGGGTGTGGGTTAGGGTGCGAGTGAGGGTGTGGTTAGGGTGTGGGTGAGGGTGTGGGTGAGGGTGTGGTTAGGGTGTGGGTGAGGGTGTGGGTGAGGGTGTGGGTGAGGGTGTGGGTGAGGGTGTGGTTAGGGTGTGGGTGAGGGTGTGGGTGAGGGTGTGGGTTAGGGTGCGAGTGAGGGTGCGGGTGAGGGTGTGGGTGAGGGTGTGGTTAGGGTGTGGGTGAGGGTGTGGGTTAGGGTGTGGGTTAGGGTGTGGGTTAGGGTGTGGGTTAGGGTGTGGGTTAGGGTGTGGGTTAGGGTGTGGGTTAGGGTGTGGGTTAGGGTGTGGGTTAGGGTGTGGGTTCGAGTGAGGGCGCGGGTTAGGGTGTGGGTTAGGGTGTGGGTTAGGGTGTGGGTGAGGGTGTGGGTTAGGGTGTGGGTTAGGGTGTGGGTTAGGGTGTGGGTTAGGGTGTGGGTTAGGGTATGGGTTAGGGTGTGGGTTAGGGTGTGGGTTAGGGTGTGGGTTCGAGTGAGGGCGCGGGTTAGGGTGTGGGTTAGGGTGTGGGTTAGGGGGTCGGTTAGGGTGTGGGTTCGAGTTAGGGTGTGGGTTAGGGTGTGGGTTAGGGTGTGAGTTAGGGTGTGGGTTCGAGTTAGGGTGTGGGTTAGGGTGTGGGTTAGGGGGTGGGTTAGAGTGTGGGTTCGAGTTAGGGTGTGGGTTAGGGTGTGGGTTAGGGTGTGGGTTAGGGTGTAGGTTAGGGTGTGGGTTAGGGTGTGAGTTAGGGTGTGGGTTCGAGTTAGGGTGTGGGTTAGGGTGTGGGTTCGAGTTAGGGTGTTGGTTAGCGTGTGGGTGAGGGTGGTGGTGAGAGTGTGGGTTAGGGTGTGGGTTAGGGTGTGTGGGTTAAGGTGTGGGTTAGGGTGTGGGTTAGGGTGTGGGTTAGGGTGTGGGTGAGGGTGTGGGTTAGGGTGTGGGTGAGGGAGTGGGTGAGGTTGTGGGTTAGGGTGTGGGTTCGAGTTAGGGTGCAGGTTAGGGTGTGAGTTATGGTGTGCGTTAGAGTGTGGGTGAGGGTGTGTGTTAGGATGTGGGCTAGGGTGTGGGTTAGGGTGTGGGGGTTAGGGTGTGGGTTAGGGTGTGGTTAGGGTGTGGGTAAGGGTGTGGGTGTTAGGGTATGGGTGTGTATTTGGGTGTGGGTTAGGGTGTGGGTTAGGGTGTGGGTTAGGGTGTGGGTTAGGGTCTGTGTTAGGGAGTTGGTTAGCGTGTGGGTTAGGGTATAGGTTAAGGTATGGGTGTTAGGGTATGGGTGTGTATTTGGGGGTGGGTTAGGGTATGGGTTAGGGTGTAGGCTATGGTTTAGGTTATGTTGTGGGTTAGGTTCAGAGTGTCAGTTAGGGTGTCGATGAGAGTTAGCGTATAGGGTTGGGGTTAGGGTGTGAGTGTTTGGAGTTAGGGTGCGGGTTTGGGTTAGGGCTGTGAGAGAGTGGCAGGAGGTTGTTAGTGAGTTTGTTGTGATTGTTGGTGGTGGTGGTGATGATGGTGATACTGGTGGTGATGGTGATGTTGATGGTGGTGATGGTGATGTTGATGGTGGTGATGATGATGCTGGTGGTGGTGATGATGTTATAATTGTGATGACGATGCCAGAATTAGCGCTGATGATGATGATTCTGCTACTCCAGACGCTAACGATGGTGGCGGCGATGGTGGTGAGTAGGTCGCCCAGTAGTGACGACGGAGACGATGGCGGTCGTGGTGATGGCGGTCGTGGTGATGGAGGTATAGTCATCATGCTGCGGCTGTTAGTGCTGCTGCTATCCATGACGATGGTGGAGATGATGATGATGGTGGTGGTGGCGGTGGTGGAAAGAGCAGTCGTGCTGCTGCTGCTGCTGCTATTGAGGGTGGTAACATCCTGCTGTGTTATTGCTGTTCAGGGAAAGAGACGTAGAAATGCACGGCTGATGACTGCAGGGAGCGAGATAAACAATAGAGTAGACACAAAGAGATGAGAAAAAAAATTTCGATTTGAAGCTTTCGTGACTGCAGGAATCCATACTCTTTGGTTCTTTCGGTAAAGTCACGTGGGTATAAAATAATAGATCACGACGTTTCGATCGCAACACAAGCAATCGTCATCAGGTGGAACAACCACAGCCAGAAAAACTGCTTTTTCTTGTCTACTTCAGCAGTTTTTCTTGCTGTGGTTGCCCCACCTGATGACGATTGCCTGTGTTGCGATCGAAACGTCGTGATCTATTATTTTCTCTACCTACTTGACTTTACCGAAAGAGATGAGAAAAACTGCAGGGGGAGACGAGGCGGGGAGAGCGATCGCACCGTGAGGACGTGTAGGGCACTGCAGTGGAGCTCGGGGAAGGGCTGCGTGCAGATCCCGCGGAGGAGGTCGAAGGGGCGCGGGGCGAGAGCCCAGAACCACCGCTCGCTCACCTCTACCGCCTCCTCACCCTCACCCTCCTTACAGACATACATCGCCAACACACACACCAACATACACACACACCACCACCACCAACACACACACACATGGAAATTACACACACACAGCCAATATGCACACCGCCAACACACACACACACACCGCCAACACACACACCGCCAATACACACACCACCAACACACACACACTGCCAACACACATACACCGGCAACACACACACACACGGAAATTACACACACACACCGCCAACACACACACCGCAAACACACACACCGCCAACACACACACACACCGCCAACACACACACACCGGCAACACACACACACACGGAAATTACACACACACACCGCCAACACACACACCGCAAACACACACACCGCCAACACACACACACACCGCCAACACACACACACCGCCAACACACACACATCGTCAACACACACACCACAGATATGTAGATGGGTCAGTAAGTGGGTGGGTGAAGTGGGCATGCAGATATTTGTATGGGTGAGTATTCGTGTATGTGGTTACACGCGTGGGCATGTAGGTGGGTGGGTGAGTGTGCATGTAGATATTTGTATGGGTGAGTATTCGTGTATGTGGTAACATGCGTGGGCATGTAGGTGGGTGGGTGAGTGAGTGGGCATGTAGATATTTGGATGGGTGAGTGGGCGAGTTGCCGTGTATGTGGTTACACGCGTGGGCGTGCAGGTGGGTGGGCGAGCGCGCATGTAGATGTTTGTATGGGTGAGTAGCCGTGTATGTGGTTACATGTGTGGGCGTGTAGGTGGATGGGTGGGTGAGTGAGTGGGTATGTAGATATTTGGATGGGTGAGTGGGCGAGTCGCCGTGTATGTGGTTACAAGCGTGGGCATGTAGGTGGGTGGGCGAGTGGTTGGGCGAGTGGGCATGCAGGTGAGCTGCGATCCTACCGGCACGGACAGCACGGCTGCGATGGTATCCAGGCATCGCGCCCGCATCTCAGTGGGAGAGTTCTGCATCAGGTTCCCCATCCTCTTGAGCAGCTGTGGGAACTGCATGCCTGTTAAATAAAGAGATGTACCCAGTGCACCGATTGGACAATCTCTTCGACGTTCGAGGAGGGTGGAAACGTGCACTCCCCCTGACTGCCAACAATCGAATACCCGGCTTCAATGTTGCTGTGCAGGAGGGCTGTCACCCGAAACGTCGGCCATTATACACTTGTTGATATTGACACGGAACCTGTTGCCTCACCCACCGCTCACCCACCCGCCCGCTCACCCACCAGTCTGCCCGCCCGCTCACCCACCCGCTCGCTCACCTGCCAGTCTGCCCCGCCCGCTCACTCGCCCACCCACCTGCCCGCCCGCTCACCCACCCGCTCACCCACCGGTCTGTCCGCTCGCTCACCCACCCACTCACCCACCCGCCCACTCACCCGCCCGTATGCCCAACTGCCCACTCACCTACCCGCTCACCCACCGGTCTGTCCGCTCGCTTACCCGCCCACTCACCCACCCGCCCACTCACCCACCCGCCCACTCACCCACCCGCCCACTCACCCACCCGCCCGCTCACCCGCCCGTACGCCCAGCCGCCCACTCACCCACACACCCACCCACCCGTCTGCCCACCCACCCACCCGCTCACCCTCCTTGCCGAGCACTCGCTTGCCCTCGGCGGAGCGGGCGATGAGGCCGATGGTGTCGAGAGCCACGGAGTTGAGGCCGGGCTCCGGACCCAGCAGCATGGAGGAAACGGCGGCGAGGAACGGAGGGTAGCGCTCGCACAGCGCCCCGGGCCCTTCCAGCACCGCTAGCCGGGCGAAAAACTTCACCAGACCTGGGGGAAGAGGGGAGAGGGGTGGGGGCACGGGGAGGAGGGGGGGGGGGGTGGCGGGGACACGCGCGGAGGGTTGGTCTGCTGGTTCTTTGGGCCTGGTAAAATAAAAGGGATTTAGAACTCGCTGAGACTTTCATGGGTTAAACAAGTGTAGTAGTAGGTTTTTATCCTTTGAACTGGTACAAAAACTGACACCTTTATACAAGGCATCATGTTTGCAATAACCACAACACAAGCAGTCAAAATGCAAACAAAAAGAAACAACTCTGATAATGGTATGCACTGTCCTTGAAGTTGATTGGTCCACACCCGAGACAGCTTTTCTTAGAGCCTAGTCTCCATTGGTGTTGGACCAGATGACGCCAAAAGGCGCACAACTCAAAAAGTTGTTTCTTTTTGTTTGCATTTTGACTGCTTGTGCTGTGGTTATTGCAAACATGATGCCTTGTATAAAGGTGTCAGTTTTTGTACCAGTTGAAAGGGTAAAAACCTACTACTATATTTTGGCACTGGTGTAATAAAGCTCGTTGGGGCGACTTCTGGAATCCGTCTTTTATTCAACTTGTATTACAGCTTTTCCTTCACACTGCTGACAGGCAGCGTGAGAGGGACAGATAGAGAGAGAGAGACACACACTGCCACGTGGCAACCCGGAGCCCCGCGTGGCCCCCTTCCTCCGTTCGTTCCCGTTCTGACCACGTGTCGCTCGTCTCCACCCCTATTTAATACCCGGGTCACATGATACGTTTCCGCCAATCCTCGTTAGCCTCCGTGGAATATTCCAGGCCCCCTCGTAGGCTCCCGGGACCACGCCCCTGACTCGTCTCCCCATTGGCTGTGGCCAAAGCCAGCAGAACCAATCCTTACAGCTGTCACCTTTCCATTACGTCAGGGCCACGCCCCCAGGCTTCCCCCCATTGGCTGTAAACCAGGACCGGCAGAGCCAATCACCATGACGAGTTGTGATACGTCAGTGAGCCGGATATATCCTCACATTACACTGGTAAAGGAGATGTCTCATAGTGTAAAGCGATCCGTGTTCGGCACCGGGGAGGTAGAGGTCGCAGAAGGGGTCGCTGTGTGCGTCCTGCAGGAGCCCGGCGATGCGGTCCACGATGCCGGCGTGGAGGAGGTGGTGACGGCCGTGCGGGGAGCGCACCAGGCCGCTCACCGTCTCTGCGCTCGTCGCGCTGCACACAGACAGGTGGCGGTCTCCAGTGCAGCCCGCGGTGGAGTGGGCGAGGGTGTGAGCTGGTAGCTGAGCGGGTGAGAGTGTGAGCTGGTAGCTGAGCGGGTGAGAGTGTGAGTGGGCGAGGGTGTGAGCGGGCGAGGGTGTGAGCTGGTAGCTGAGCGGGTGAGAGTGTGAGTGGGCGAGGGTGTGAGCGGGCGAGGGTGTGAGCGGGCGAGGGTGTGAGCGGGTGAGAGTGTGAGCGGGCGAGGGTGTGAGCGGGCGAGGGTGTGAGCTGGTAGCTGAGCGGGTGAGAGTGTGAGTGGGCGAGGGTGTGAGCGGGCGAGGGTGTGAGCGGGCGAGGGTGTGAGCGGGTGAGAGTGTGAGCGGGTGAGAGTGTGAGCGGGCGAGGGTGTGAGCTGGTAGCTGAGCGGGTGAGAGTGTGAGTGGGCGAGGGTGTGAGTGGCCGAGGGTGTGAGCGGGCGAGAGTGTGAGCGGGTGAGAGTGTGAGCTGGTGGCTGAGCGGGTGAGAGTGTGAGTGGGTGCGGGTGTGAGAGTGTGAGCATGTGAGCGGGCGAGAGTGTGAGCTGGTAGCTGAGCGGGCGAGAGTGTGAGTGGGTGAGGGTGTGAGAGTGTGAGCGTGTGAGCGGGCGAGGGTGTGAGCTGGTAGCTGAGCGGGCGAGGGTGTGAGCGGGCGAGGGTGTGAGCTGGTAGCTGAGCGGGCGAGGGTGTGAGCGGGCGAGGGTGTGAGCTGGTGGCTGAGCAGGTGAGAGTGTGAGCTGGTGGCTGAGCGTGTGAGTGGGTGAGAGTGTGAGAGGGTGAGTGGGTGAGAGTGTGAGTGGGTGAGAGTGTGAGAGGGTGAGTGGGTGAGAGTGTGAGAGAATGAGCTGGTAGCTGAGCGAGCAAGGGTGTGAGCTGGTGGTTGAGCAGGTGAGAGTGTGAGCGGGTGAGCCGTGTGAGCGGGTGAGAGTGTGAGTGGGTGAGAGTGTGAGCGGGTGAGAGTGTGAGCTGGTGAGAGTGTGAGCTGGTGGTTGAGCGGGTGAACGGGAGAGTGTGAACGTGTGAGCGGGAGAGTGTGAGAGTGTGAGCGGGCAAGGGTGTGAGCTGGTGGCTGAGTGGGTGAGAGAGTGAGCGGGTGAGAGTGTGAGCTGGTGGCTGAGTGGGTGAGAGTGTGAGCGGGTGAGAGTGTGAGCTGGTGGCTGAGCGGGTGAGCGGGTGAGAGGGTGAGAGTGTGCGAGGGTGTGAGCTGGTGGCCGAGCGTGCGAGCGTGCCGTCTCACCGGATGAGCCGTGTGAGCGTGTGAGCGTGTGAGCAGGTGAGAGTGTGAGTGGGTAAGCGTGTGAGCATGAGAGTGTGCGAGTGTGAGCGGGTGAGAGTGTGAGCGTGTGAGCGTGCGAGCGTGCGAGTGTGCGAGCGGGTGAGAGTGTGAGCTGGTGGCCGAGTGTGTGAGCGTGCGAGTGTGCGAGTGGGTGAGCGTGCGAGCGTGCGAGCGTGTGAGCGTGCGAGCGTGCGAGTGAGCGTGCGAGCGTGGGAGCGTGCTCTCTCACCGGATGAGCACATCGTTGCCCACCAGCTCGGCGACGAGGCGGGAGATGAACCCGGCCTCGTCGCAGTAGCGCAGCGACGTGGGCGACGCTCCCGCAATCTCCACCACCAGCTGCGGCATCCACACAAAACACAGAGATCCCCCGTGTGGTCGTTTACTTGATTTTTAAATCCTTTATATTAAGTTCGCTTGCTTGCTTGCTTGCGCGCTTACGACCGTGCAAATCTTTCGGTCGTTTTTTAACCCACTTCCCGTGATCCAATCGAGCTGACATTTTCCACACAGACTCGTTGTGCGTGACAATTTATTTTCGTGAAAATTTTTTTCCAAAATTTTTCACTTTTTAGGAAAAAATAAATTTTCACTAACACAATCATATATTTTTCCTAAACACAGAAAATTATTCAAGAAAACAACAAAAATTTACAATATAAACAATCATACAAAAACTGAAAACCTTATAATCCTTATATACGACTTTCCTTATATTTAATTTAAAATACCAATGTGATAAAAATGAAACTCTTACTCAAGAAAAACTGAAATGAATAATAAAATAAAACCGATGCCACGCATATAAAGGATTTATAGTTTTTAAATCCTTTATTATTTTACCAGGTGAGTCCCACTGACCTGCATAGCTCTTTTTCATAAGCGACCTGGCCCACAAATGATAGCCCAACGAAGTGGCTCATCATCATCATGTGGAAATGTATAGTAAGCCAAATACTCCGAACGAGTGAAGTTCATTCTAAACGTGGGAGGGAAAACCCGGAGGACCCAGAGAAAAATCCACGCGACCATGGGGAGGGAGAGAGAGACACCGCAAACTCCAATTATACAACAGGGTCAAGTCTTCTTGGTTCTTTCGGTAAAGTCACGCTGTCTTTCCGACAGACCTGTTCTTCACCTGAGGACGGCTGCTTGCGTTGTGGCCGAAACGTCGTGAGAATTGTATTTTATTATGTTTTATTTTTATTATGTTATTATTTCCCTTCTACGTGACTTTACCGAAAGAACCAACAAGATGAATCCCTGCAGTCACGAAAGCTTTCAATCGAAATTTAACAGGGTCAAGGTCGGGATCGAACCCACGGCCTCCTGCATGCCAGGCGAGGCAGCTAACATCTCGCCACGGTTCGCGCGTCTGCGCAGATCGCCGGGGCGAGTGCCGTTTGCAACCGCCCACGAAGGCCGGAGTGTCGCACTGCGTCAACAGCACAGACGAGGGAGTAAGCTGCTGGTGGAAGGAGAGGAAAGAAGAATTCTGACCTCGTACACGCGGTAGCGTACGACGTCGCTGGTCGTCATGACGCCGTTGAGCTTGGCGAGGAGGGTGCCGGTGAAGAGCGCTTGGAGGCCCTCCCTGGCCGCGGCCACGCGCGCCAGGCAGCGGACGGCCTGCCCCGCGCGGTGGCGGCAAAGACGGGATCGTGACCATCATTGCAATTGATAATTGTTTTTTTACCCTTCCATCTGGCAACAAAACTGACACCTTTTTTACAAGGAGTCATGTTTGCATAGACCACAATACTTGCAGTCGTAATGCAAACAAAAACATAACTCTGATAAACACAAAAACATAACTCTGAAAAACATTATCAGAGTTATGTTTTTGTTTGCATTATGACTGCAGGTATTGTGGTCTATGTTAACATGACTCCTTGTAAAAAAGGTGTCAGTTTTGTTGCCAGATAGAAGGGTAAAAAAACTATTATCATATTTTTTACTGGCAAAGGAGGTTCCAATGGTGTAAATGCTTACCCTGAGCTCTTATACTCTGATGGTGCATTGTCTTTGAATTGTGCGCCTTTTGGCATCATCTGGTCCAACCCATGTGAGACTAGGCTCTAAGGAAAGCTGTCTCGGTTGTGGACCAATCAACTTCAAGGACAGTGCATACATCAGAGTTATGTTTTTGTTTGCATCATGACTGCAGGTATTGTGGTCTATGCAAACATGACTCTGTGTAAAAAAAGGTGTCAGTTTTGTTGCCAGATAGAAGGGTAAAAGAAACAATGATCATATTTTTTACTGGCAAATGAGGTTCCAATGGTGTAAATCATTGCAACTGTTGTTATTGTCGCTCGTTGCTTTCGCAACGACGAGACGGGCGACGCGAACGATTCGGAAACCCCGCCGCCGGGGCTCACCTCTGCGAGGAGCGGTATGCCGTACGCGCTGGGTTACCTGGGTGGCCACAGACGTGGTGTCGTCCCGGACGCACTGGATGACGTGCGAGAGAAGGTCCGGCTGGCTCGCGATGTCGCCGACGCACGACGCGTCTCCCACGATCCTCTCGATCTGAGGACAACCGATTCGACCGCTGGACGAAGGCCCTCTGCCCCCTCCCATCCCTCGGGAGAGTCGCTGCGACGCAACACTGATGTCCGTCAGTCTGTCCGATTGTCAGTCGGCCAGTCAAGCCATCAGTCCGTCCCTCAGTCAGTCAGCCCGTCCGTCCGTCCCTGGCACAGCGAGCCGATCTTATCGCTTCACCTACGATCAGCACTGTGGGTTACGTACGGTGCAAAAGAATTTTTCGATTTAAAGCTTTCGTGACTGCAGGGATTCATCTTCTTGTTTCTTTCGGTAAAGTCACGTAGAAGGGAAGTCTACAGGAAAGCCACCCACACGGATGCTTATCTAAAACCGGATTCCCACCACCATCCATCCCAGAAGAATTCCCTCATCAAGACTCTATATCATAGAGCCCAATGCATCTCCGACCATGAACACATTTCCAGTGAACTCAAACACGTACGCCAAGCTCTTAAGGCAAATGGTTACTCCGACTATACAATCCGCAAAGCCATCACTCCAACCATCAAGAAGGATCCTGTTGAGGAGCCTTTCAAGACCATCATCTTACCCTACATTGCTGGGGTCACAAAAAAGATCTCCAAAATCCTGATTAAACACAAGATCCAGGTCCGATTCAACACAGTACATAAAATCCGTGATCTGGTACCGTCTGTAAAAGATGTGGTTCCAGACATACAGTACCCTGGCGTCTACAAACTAAGTTGCCTCTGTGGTAGCAGTTACATTGGTGAAACCAAACGACATGTCTCGGACCGCATCCGTGAACATAAAGCTGACCTGAAACACGGTAGGACTAACACCTCAGCCGTGGCAGATCACTGTTACAACTCAGTGGGCTCACATGATATTGACTTCTCCAAGACAGAGGTTCTCTGCAAGCCATCTGGCTATCATGAGAGATTCGTTCATGAGGCGATCCACATATACAAACACAGAGACAATTTTAACCGAGAAGATGGATTCTGGCTCAGCAATCATTGGAAGGACGTAATAAACCATTTCGATACACATTAGGGTGTGTAGAATAATACATAGTGTGATATTAAATGTATAAGATATAGGTTGGTTTACAGCAATACAGTATATAATTTAATGTTGGGTTTATCTATGGCAGTATATAGTACGGTATATGCTCGTGTGATGTAAGAGAATAAGGTTTAGATGGAAGCATATTATAGAATTTTACGAGGTAAAATTGTAATGTATTACTTGCTGTTAGTAACTCAGCTTATTATAGAGTATAGTAAGTATACTGATGGTGCGATGCAGTTTATACTTTAGTTTTTTATGTAGTTTATACTTTAGTTTTCTACGTGGTTGTTGAGTAACTGCAGCTACATATCATTAACATTCCTTTCCTTTGTTACTGCTAATCCCTGCACCCCCCTTGGTTGCTGCTGATCCTGCATAATGCATGGGCATAATATGACTTTGACACCCCCCCGCCCAACGCCTACGCATTTTCCATGAATATGCTAAATCCCTCTTCACATGCACATTCTTTTTGTTAAGGCGCTCTTCAACCCCCAATGCAGCTTATATATAAGCTCCTAGTTTGGTAGTGTCTCATTCTTCACCTGAAGACGGCTGCTTGCGTTGTAGCCGAAACGTCGTGAGAATTGTTTTATTATGTTTTATTTTTATTATTTTATTACTTCCCTTCTACGTGACTTTACCGAAAGAAACAAGAAGGTGCAAAAGAAGTTCAACGTACATACACGCATAACTCCGCGACGAATGTATGCACGTTGAACTTATTTAGCAACGTACGTACGTAAGTAGAACTTCTTTCGCACCTTAAGTATGCATGTAAGTTTAACTTCTTTCGCAGTATGTTGAACTTCAATCTCACCGTATGTATGTCGAATACCTTTCGCAACCATACGTAGCCAACCACGCGAATTGGAGGTGCGGGGGAAGGAATCGGAGGTGCGGGGGAAGGATGTTTACAAATGCGCTCCGGTCCTTTAGGCTCTGATTCGGGCCTCAAATTTGTGCGCACCTTCCAAGATAACTGCGGCCGTTTTTGTCTTCTCGAGGTAAAGTTCCGAACAAGCGACGCAAGAAAAGGTTCTCAAGTTTCACCATCTCAGTGAGATTCACAGGGCCCCCCCCCTCTCACCGTGACGGATGGCACGGACGGCGTGAACGCACCAACGCTTAAAGCGCCGCGTTAACCGATGGAGCCACGCCACGCGACGTTGACCAATCAGCCTCGAGATGAGAACAGATTTGATGGACCGGACTCCGATTAAGTCTCCAGACGATAACAGACTCACAGAACTGCCTCTGATGGGGTCTCTAGAAAATAGAGAGCTAGAACGGTCTATGATAGGAAACCGGGGGGACAATACTCTATCCGACACAGCAGAGAGAGATGATATCAGTCCACAATTATTGCCGTTCCGCATTCCGCTGGCAAGCCAGGGTACGGCACCTTGACGCTCTACGGGGAAGCGCCTTTAGCAACGTCTGTGCGGGTGATCCGCAAACCCTCACTGCCTCCACAGTGCCGCATGGCAGGCCACGAGCGTTGCCTCCTCACCGCCTGGCTAAAGGCTTTTTCAAGATACAAGTTCTTAAATACAAGTCAAGCCCCTCCCCCCTCCTCCCCCCCTTAACGTGTATTTAAGAACTTGTATCTTGGAATTTTTTGCCTCACTTGATACAGTAAATCTGGCTGTGACGGTCCCACCTGATGACGGAGACTTGTGTTGCCTCCGTAACGTCGTGATTTATTATTTTATTTCTATTATTACTTTTATTAATTTTTATTTTTCACCTACGTGACTTTACCGAAAAAACCTAAGAGTAGGGGTTTTCCCCTTTTTTCTGGCAAAACTGAAACCTTCTTACAAGGAATCGTGTGTCTGCATTAACCACAATACTTGTGGTCAACATGCAAACAAGCAAAGGAGGTCTAATGATGTAGATGCTCACCCCGAGCCCTCATTACTTTGATAGTGCCATTGTCTTTGAGCGTTACGCCTCTTGGCGTCCTCTGGTCTAGCACCAATTGAGATGAGGCTCAAAAGAAAGCCATCTCTGGTGTGGGCCAATCAGTTTCAAGGACAATGCATATATTATCAGAGTGTTTTTTTTTGCATTTTCACCACAAGTATTATGGTGAATGCGCCACATGATTCCTTGTAAAAAGGTTTAAACTTTGTTGCCAGAAAAAAGGGGGAAAACCCTATGATCATACTTTGGTACTGGTAAAGGAGGTCTAATGATGGACTGACTGTTGCGTCACCGCGATTCTCCCGAGAGATGGGAAGGGGGAGGAGGCCTTCGACCAGCGCTGGAATCGGTTGTTCTCAGATCGAGAAGATCGCGTCGGGAACATCGCGAGCCAACCGGACCTTCTCTCGCACGCCACCGAGTGCGTCCGGGACGACACCACCCAGGTAACCCAGCGCAACGGCGGCCGTGGCGCGGCCGGGGTTCACCGCCGCTTGTCTAAATGTCACCGCTGGGTGGGGAGGGTGGGGAGTGGCTGGGTGGGGAGGGTGGGGCTGGGTGGGGGGTGGGAGGGGTGGGGCTGGGTGGGGAGGATGGGGCTGGGTGGGGGGTGGGAGGGGTGGGGCTGGGTGGGGAGGGGCTGGGTGGGGAGGGTGGGGCTGGGTGGGGGGTGGGAGGAGTGGAGCTGGGTGGGGAGGGGCTGGTCACCCCGTGGTGCCCTTATAAAACTCAACGTTTCACCTACTCACGCCGGCTTGTGCCCGCCCTCACAGTCGGGCATATTTGCGGAATACACCACGCCCTGGCCGTTGACCCTGGCCATTGACCGAGCAACCCGACGTTCCTACCAGCTCCCTCCGCAGGACAATGTGTTTTAAAACGTCTGTAATGATGATGATAATACCGCAGCAGTAACAATAAAAACTGATGAAGAGTCACCAGAGTGAGGGAGAGAAGGCGGACGAGCTCGTGCGGGTGCAGAAGGCCACGGGTGAGGTTGTGGCGATGGGCGGCGAGGAGACGCTGCGGCTGCTCGCCGTGCAGAGCCCGCTCCAGCACGGCGCAGCACAGCTCCGTGTGCTCCCTGTGCAGCAGCGCCAGGCAGCAGCAGTGACAGCAGCAGAAGCAGCAGCAGTAGCAGCAGCGACAATAGCAGCAGCAGTAGAGACAACAGCAGTAGCAACAGCGACAACAGCAGCAGCAGTAGCAGCAGCAGCGACAGCAGCAGCAGAAGCAGCAGCAACAGCAGCAGAAGCAGCAGTAGCAGCAGTAGCAATAGCAGCAGCAACAACAGCAGCAGTAGCAGCAGCAGCGACAGCAGCAGCAGAAGCAGCAGCAACAGCAGCAGAAGCAGCAGTAGCAGCAGTAGCAATAGCAGCAGCAACAACAGCAGCAGTAGCAGCAGCAGCGACAGCAGCAGCAGAAGCAGCAGCAACAGCAGCAGAAGCAGCAGTAGCAGCAGTAGCAATAGCAGCAGCAACAACAGCAGCAGTAGCAGCAGCAGCGACAGCAGCAGCAGAAGCAGCAGCAACAGCAGCAGAAGCAGCAGTAGCAGCAGTAGCAATAGCAGCAGCAACAACAGCAGCAGTAGCAGCAGCAGCGACAGCAGCAGCAGAAGCAGCAGCAACAGCAGCAGAAGCAGCAGTAGCAGCAGTAGCAATAGCAGCAGCAACAACAGCAGCAGTAGCAGCAGCAGCGACAGCAGCAGCAGAAGCAGCAGCAACAGCAGCAGAAGCAGCAGTAGCAGCAGTAGCAATAGCAGCAGCAACAACAGCAGCAGTAGCAGCAGCGACAGCAGCAGCGGCAGCAGCAGCAGCAACAATAGCAACAGTAGCAACAGCGATAACAGCAGCAGCAGCCGTAGCAGCAATCGCGGCAGCAGAAGCAGCGACAGCAGCAGCAGTAACAACAACAGCAGCAACAGCAGCGACAGCAGCAGTGACGTCACCACGGCGCTTGTGCCACGCTAGGTGCACCTTGCATGTAACGTTGAACTTCATTCGCACCGTACGTAGACAGCCGTCCTAATTGGAGGTTCGGGGGGATGGACAACCAACTAAACACACCAACACGCGTGTAACCACCAACACGCGTGTTACCACCTGTACCCCCCCACTGTGCCAGGCTAGGTGCAGGTCACGGCACAGACCCAGCAGGTGCCGTGGGTTGACTGAGATGACCGGTAATGCACCACCTGTACCCCTACTGTGCCAGGCTAGGTGCAGGTCACAGAACAGACCCAGCAGGTGCCATGAGTCGACTGACTGAGGATGACCGGTTTAGTGGGAAACGCTCACGCACCTATCCCCGCAGTCGAGGATGTCGAAGAGCGGCTCCAGGCTGACGCCGGCGAGTGTGGAGGGCTGCGAGGCGAACACGGCCGTCTTGAGGCTCTGCAAGGCCTCGGCTCGATCATCGCAGCATCCGAGGCGAGCGAGCAACGCCACCACCGCATCCGCCATGCTGTTTCAAAGTGGTGAAGACGAGAATCGATTCCCTTGAATCGACGTTGCAGTTTGAAATCGACGGCGGATTCAATGGCGTCGGGTGGGTGTTGGAGGGGAATCGATTCCGAGTCGATTATTATGTTAGCGGGTTGTGATAACCAGGATCGGGAATCGATTCTGTCCTGTCATTGTTGTTGTTGTTGTGGACTGTACTTCATGGGACCTCGCTGACTCCTTGATTTTATTATTTTGTTTCCTCACCTGAGGATTTTTTTGTTTCTTCACCTGAGGATTTTATTTTATTTTTTGTTTCTTCACCTGAGGATTTTATTTTATTTTTTGTTTCCTCACCTGAGGATTTTATTTTATTGTTTGTTTCTTCACCTGAGGATTTTATTTTATTTTGTGTTTCTTCACCTGAGGATTTTATTTTATTTTTTGTTTCCTCACCTGAGGATTTTATTTTATTGTTTGTTTCTTCACCTGAGGATTTTATTTTATTGTTTGTTTCTTCACCTGAGGATTTTATTTATTTTTTGTTTCTTCACCTGAGGATTTAATTTTTTGTTTCTTCACCTGAGGATTTCATTTTATTTTTTGTTTCTTCACCTGAGGATTTCATTTTATTTTTTGTTTCTTCACCTGAGGATTTTATTTAATTTTTTGTTTCTTCACCTGAGGATTTTATTTAATTTTTAGTTTCTTCTGAGGATTTTATTTTATTTTGTGTTTCTTCACCTGAGGATTTTATTTTATTTTTGTTTCCTCACCTGAGGATTTTATTTTATTGTTTGTTTCTTCACCTGAGGATTTTATTTTATTTTTTGTTTCTTCACCTGAGGATTTTTTTTTGTTTCTTCACCTGAGGATTTTATTTTATTTTTTGTTTCTTCACCTGAGGATTTTTTTTTGTTTCTTCACCTGAGGATTTTATTTTATTTTTTGTTTCTTCACCTGAGGATTTTATTTTATTGTTTGTTTCTTCACCTGAGGATTTTATTTTATTTTTTGTTTCTTCACCTGAGGATTTCATTTTATTTTTTGTTTCTTCACCTGAGGATTTCATTTTATTTTTTGTTTCTTCACCTGAGGATTTTATTTATTTTTTTGTTTCTTCACCTGAGGATTTTATTTAATTTTTAGTTTCTTCTGAGGATTTTATTTTATTTTGTGTTTCTTCACCTGAGGATTTTATTTTATTTTTGTTTCCTCACCTGAGGATTTTATTTTATTGTTTGTTTCTTCACCTGAGGATTTTATTTTATTTTTTGTTTCTTCACCTGAGGATTTTTTTTGTTTCTTCACCTGAGGATTTTATTTTATTTTTTGTTTCTTCACCTGAGGATTTTTTTTTGTTTCTTCACCTGAGGATTTTATTTTATTTTTTGTTTCTTCACCTGAGGATTTTATTTTATTGTTTGTTTCTTCACCTGAGGATTTTATTTTATTTTTTGTTTCTTCACCTGAGGATTTTATTTTATTTTTTGTTTCTTCACCTGAGGATTTTTTGTTTGTTTTTTGTTTCTTCACCTGAGGATTTTTTTTTTGTTTCTTCACCTGAGGATTTTATTTTATTTTGTTGTTTCTTAACCTGAGGATTTTTTTTGTTTCTTCACCTGAGGATTTTTTTTTCTTCACCTGAGGATTTTATTTTATTTTTTGTTTCTTCACCTGAGGATTTTTTTTGTTTCTTCACCTGAGGATTTTATTTTATTTTGTTGTTTCTTAACCTGAGGATTTTTTTTTGTTTCTTCACCTGAGGATTTAATTTATTTATTTTTTTCTTCACCTGAGGTTTTTTTTTGTTTCTTCACCTGAGGATTTTTTTACTTTTGGTTTCTTCACCTGAGGACGGCTGCTTGTGTTGTGGCCGAAACGTCGTGGGAATTTTGTTTTATTAGGTTTAATTTTTATTATTTTTTTATTTCCCTTCTACGAGACTTTACCGAAAGAATCAAGAAGATACAATTTGATTATTTCGGTAAAGTCACGTAGGTAGAAAAAATAAGAAAATAAAATATCATAAAAATAATAGATCACGACGTATCGATCGCAACACAAGCAATCGTCATCAGGTGGGACAACCACAGCAGCAGTTTCTTCCTGCTGTGTCGTGATCTATTATTTTTTGTGATATTTATTGTTTGGTTCTTTCGGTAAATAAAAAAATAATGTATTTATTTGTATTTAAAAATAATGTATTATTTTTTATGTAATTTATTTTATTTTTTCACCTACGTGACTTTACCGAAGAACCAAAGAGTTTGGGGATTCCTGGAGTCACGAAAGCTTCAAATCAAGAATTGGACCTCCCTTGTCACTATAAAAATATATAACAAAGGTTTTGTCTGTTGCGGCAATAAAACAGTTGTGTTAAGATGTTAAAACGCTAAAGGGGGCGTCCATAAATGACGTCACGCGATTTTGGACGATTTTTGACCCCCCCCCCTCGTCACACGGCGTCACAAAAAGTCAGACCCCCCCCCTAAAATATGACGTCACAAATCTCTGCCCCCCCCTCCCCCAAAAAACATGCTTCAAATCGCTTTAAACTATTGTCATTGTAGTGCGTATTTAATGTGGCGCTGCACTCTGATGTTGTAGGAGAAAACATTTTAAAAGTCTTTATTTTAGTAGAACGTGTTGTCTATATTTATTTAAAGTTGTGCATTTTAATGTGACGTCACATTTCTCAACCCCCCCCCAACAGGTGCGTGACGTCATTTATGGACGGCTCCTTGTGGCGACCCACAGAGACTCATAGACACCCATAGAGATCCAGACTAATAGAGACTCACAGAGACCCACAGAGACTCATAGACACCCATAGAGATCCAGACTAATAGAGACACACAGAGACTCATAGACACCCATAGAGATCCAGACTAATAGAGACCCACAGAGACTCATAGACACCCATAGAGATCCAGACTAATAGAGACACACAGAGACTCATAGACACCCATAGAGATCCAGACTAATAGAGACACACAGAGACTCATAGACACCCATAGAGATCCAGACTAATAGAGGCCCACAGAGACTCATAGACACCCATAAAGATCCAGACTAATAGAGACCCACAGAGACTCATAGACACCCATAGAGATCCAGACTAATAGAGACCCACAGAGACTCATAGACACCCATAGAGATCCAGACTAATAGAGACACACAGAGACTCATAGACACCCATATAGATCCAGACTAATAGAGACTCACAGAGACTCATAGATACCCATAGAGATCCAGACTAATAGAGACTCACAGAGACTCATAGACACCCATATAGATCCAGACTAATAGAGACACACAGAGACTCATAGACACCCATATAGATCCAGACTAATAGAGACCCACAGAGACTCATAGACACCCATAGAGATCCAGACTAATAGAGACACACAGAGACTCATAGACACCCATAGAGATCCAGACTAATAGAGACACACAGAGACTCATAGACACCCATATAGATCCAGACTAATAGAGACCCACAGAGACTCATAGACACCCATAGAGATCCAGACTAATAGAGACACACAGAGACTCATAGACACCCATAGAGATCCAGACTAATAGAGACTCACAGAGACTCATAGACACCCATAGAGATCCAGACTAATAGAGACCCACAGAGACTCATAGACACCCACAGAGATCCAGACTAATAGAGACACACAGAGACTCATAGACACCCATAGAGATCCAGACTAATAGAGACACACAGAGACTCATAGAGACCCATAGAGATCCAGACTCACAGAGACCCACAGAGACTCATAGACACCCATAGAGATCCAGACTAATAGAGACACACAGAGACTCATAGACACCCATAGAGATCCAGACTAATAGAGACACACAGAGACTCATAGACACCCATAGAGATCCAGACTAATAGAGACCCACAGAGACTCATAGACACCCACAGAGATCCAGACTAATAGAGACACACAGAGACTCATAGACACCCATAGAGATCCAGACTAATAGAGACACACAGAGACTCATAGACACCCATAGAGATCCAGACTAATAGAGACACACAGAGACTCATAGACACCCATAGAGATCCAGACTAATAGAGACACACAGAGACTCATAGACACCCATAGAGATCCAGACTAATAGAGACCCACAGAGACTCATAGACACCCACAGAGATCCAGACTAATAGAGACACACAGAGACTCATAGACACCCATAGAGATCCAGACTAATAGAGACACACAGAGACTCATAGACACCCATAGAGATCCAGACTCATAGAGACACACAGAGACTCATAGACACCCATAGAGATCCAGACTAATAGAGACCCACAGAGACTCATAGACACCCATAGAGATCCAGACTAATAGAGACACACAGAGACTCATAGACACCCATAGAGATCCAGACTAATAGAGACCCACAGAGACTCATAGACACCCACAGAGATCCAGACTAATAGAGACACACAGAGACTCATAGACACCCATAGAGATCCAGACTAATAGAGACACACAGAGACTCATAGACACCCATAGAGATCCAGACTAATAGAGACACACAGAGACTCATAGACACCCATAGAGATCCAGACTAATAGAGACACACAGAGACTCATAGACACCCATAGAGATCCAGACTAATAGAGACCCACAGAGACTCATAGACACCCACAGAGATCCAGACTAATAGAGACACACAGAGACTCATAGACACCCATAGAGATCCAGACTAATAGAGACACACAGAGACTCATAGACACCCATAGAGATCCAGACTCATAGAGACACACAGAGACTCATAGACACCCATAGAGATCCAGACTAATAGAGACCCACAGAGACTCATAGACACCCATAGAGATCCAGACTAATAGAGACACACAGAGACTCATAGACACCCATAGAGATCCAGACTAATAGAGACCCACAGAGACTCATAGACACCCACAGAGATCCAGACTAATAGAGACACACAGAGACTCATAGACACCCATAGAGATCCAGACTAATAGAGACACACAGAGACTCATAGACACCCATAGAGATCCAGACTAATAGAGACCCACAGAGACTCATAGAGACCCATAGAGATCCAGACTCACAGAGACCCACAGAGACTCATAGACACCCATAGAGATCCAGACTAATAGAGGCCCACAGAGACTCATAGACACCCATAGAGATCCAGACTAATAGAGACACACAGAGACTCATAGACACCCATAGAGATCCAGACTAATAGAGACACACAGAGACTCATAGACACCCATAGAGATCCAGACTAATAGAGACCCACAGAGACTCATAGACACCCACAGAGATCCAGACTAATAGAGACACACAGAGACTCATAGACACCCATAGAGATCCAGACTAATAGAGACACACAGAGACTCATAGAGACCCATAGAGATCCAGACTCACAGAGACCCACAGAGACTCATAGACACCCATAGAGATCCAGACTAATAGAGACACACAGAGACTCATAGACACCCATAGAGATCCAGACTAATAGAGACACACAGAGACTCATAGACACCCATAGAGATCCAGACTAATAGAGACCCACAGAGACTCATTGACACCCACAGAGATCCAGACTAATAGAGACACACAGAGACTCATAGACACCCATAGAGATCCAGACTAATAGAGACACACAGAGACTCATAGACACCCATAGAGATCCAGACTAATAGAGACACACAGAGACTCATAGACACCCATAGAGATCCAGACTAATAGAGACCCACAGAGACTCATAGACACCCATAGAGATCCAGACTAATAGAGACACACAGAGACTCATAGACACCCATAGAGATCCAGACTAATAGAGACCCACAGAGACTCATAGACACCCACAGAGATCCAGACTAATAGAGACACACAGAGACTCATAGACACCCATAGAGATCCAGACTAATAGAGACACACAGAGACTCATAGACACCCATAGAGATCCAGACTAATAGAGGCCCACAGAGACTCATAGACACCCATAGAGATCCAGACTAATAGAGACACACAGAGACTCATAGACACCCATAGAGATCCAGACTAATAGAGACACACAGAGACTCATAGACACCCATAGAGATACAGACTAATGGAGACACAGAGACTCATAGACACCCATAGAGACTCATAGAGACCCACAGAGACTCATAGACACCCATAGAGACTCATAGATACCCACAGAGACTCAAATACCCATAGAGATCCAGACTAATAGAGACCCACATAGACTCATAGATACCCATAGAGATCCAGACTAATAGAGACCCACAGAGACTCATAGACACCCATAGAGATCCAGACTAATAGAGACCCACAGAGATCCAGACTAATAGAGACCCACAGAGACTCATAGATACCCATAGAGATCCAGACTAATAGAGACCCACAGATACTCATAGAGACCCACAGAGATCCATACTAATAGAGACACACAGAGACTCATAGACACCCATAGAGATCCAGACTAATAGAGACCCACAGAGACTCATAGACACCCATAGAGACCCAGACTAATAGACACCCACAGCGACTCATAGAGATCCAGACTAATAGAGACCCACAGAGACTCCTAGACACCCATAGAGATCCAGACTAATAGAGACCCACAGATACTCCTAGACACCCATAGAAACCCAGACTAATAGAGACCCACAGAGACTCCTAGACACCCATAGAGATCCATACTAATAGAGACTCACAGAGACTCATAGATACCCACAGAGATCCATACTTATAGAGACCCACAGAGACTCATAGACACCCATAGAGATCCAGACTAATAGACACCCACAGAGACTCATAGACACCCATAGAGATCCAGACTAATAGAGACTCATAGATACCCATAGAGTTTCATACTAATAGAGACCCACAGAGAATCATAGATACCCATAGAGATCCATACTATTAGACACCCACAGAGAATCATAGATACCCATAGAGATCCATACTATTAGACACCCACAGAGACTCATAGACACACATAGAGATCCAGACTAATAGAGACCCACAGAGACTCATAGATTAACCACAGAGATCCAGACTAATAGAGACTCACAGATACCCATAAAGACCCAGACTAATAGAGACCCACAGAGACCCCCATAGAGACCATAGACTCAGAGACCCATAGAAACACGTAGACTAATAGAGACATTACAGTGATGACACAACTACTCCGATGTCTGCTGACGCGGTTGGCTGCAGGTTTGATCACCTAAATGCGACATTGTAAGTTGTGGCCTCTACATCGACATCAGCAGCCGTACGACGACGGTAATAATACGAAGTTTTAAGTTTTATGGTTTAAAATTTCTTACAAACTCGTGGGCGGAATCGACACGCAGCGGGAATCGTTGTGAGTCGATTCCTTAGCGATACGCGATGCGTTGCTTAGCAACGGATTCAAAACAATTGCTTGGAGGAGGATGTAGAATGATGGTGGTGGTGATGATGGTGATGATGATGATGGTGGTTGTTGTGTGGTGATGGTGTTGATGTGAGTATGGGTGCCACGGTGGCTGGGTGATGTTAACTACGTCGCCTGGTGTACAGGAGGTCGTGGGTTCGATCCCGACTCTGACGCCTGCTGCTGTATATTTGGAGTTTGCGTGTCTCTCTCTCATCATCACGGTGGCTAGGAGATGTTGACTATCTCGCCTGGTGTACAGGAGGTTGTAAGTTAAAATCTCAACCCTGACGCCTGCTGCTGTATATTTGGAGTTTGCGTGTCTCTCTCTCATCATCATCATCATCACGGTGGCTAGGAGATGTTGACTATCTCGCCTGGTGTACAGGAGGTTGTAAGTTAAAATCTCAACCCTGACGCCTGCTGCTGTATATTTGGAGTTTGCGTGTCTCTCTCTCATCATCATCATCATCACGGTGGCTAGGAGATGTTGACTATCTCGCCTGGTGTACAGGAGGTTGTAAGTTAAAATCTCAACCCTGACGCCTGCTGCTGTATATTTGGAGTTTGCGTGTCTCTCTCTCATCATCATCATCATCACGGTGGCTAGGAGATGTTGACTACCTCGCCTGGTGTACAGGAGGTCGTGGGTTCGATCTCGACCCTGACGCCTGCTGCTGCTGTATATTTGGAGTTTGCGTGTCTCTCTCTCTCTCCCCGTTGTCGCGTGGATATTTATTTCTCAGGGTCCTCTGGGTTTCCCCTCCCACATTTTAGAATCAGCATCGCCGCGCGTTTAGGGGATATTCGGCTGCTGCTTTCAACTTCCACACGACGATGATGATGACGATAAGCCCACTTCGTTGAGCTATCATTTGTGACAGCAAGGTCGCTTCTGAAGATAACTATATAGTTCAGTGGGGCCTTAAATATATAAAAAGTGTAATCGTTTTATGGGGAGCGGTAGTGTCGCAGTTATCCCCCGGTGCGCTACGAACCCGGTGACCCGAGTTCGATTATCCCTCACGGCCAACACCAGTGACGATTATCTGAACCCGTCCGGGGCCTCCCCTGGGTCGATTCGGCCTTAACTGAGTACCTGGTGCGGTGTGCAGTAAACATCGCCACTGGGGAGACAAAGGCGGCCGGGCGTGGTGCTGGCCACCTACACCCTCGTATACCGTGTCGGCCTTCATAGGTGTGCTACTCGCTAACAGCACTTGTCCCAGCAGTATTTTAAGGCTATACAGGGGAACTTTGTTGTTGTTACGATTATTAATTCAAACCAACGATAAAATGCATATTTAACATACTTAGAAATCTTCTTGGTTCTTTCGGTAAAGTCACGTAGAATGGAAATAATAAAATAATAAAAAGAAAACATAATAAAATAATTCTCACGACGTTTCTTATGTTTTATTTTTATTATTTTATTATTTCCATTCAACGTGACTTTACCTAAAGAACCAAGAAGATGAATCCCTGCAGTCACGAAAGCTTTAAATCGAAAAATACTTAGAAATGTTCAATCTTGTGCAAGTGCGCGCATGTGTGTGTATCGCGTAACACAGACACCAAACGGCTAGCCGCAAACAGCACTCACTTTTTTACAGAGTGCGTCGTCGGACACGGACGGGGTCATGTGCGATATCCCTTCCCAGCAGGTCATTGACACCGAAACGAATCCTCGTGGAGCAGGTCAGCGGAAGGGAATGGCTGAGGTCCGCGTGGTCCCAAGCGGGAAGGTGTATCGACAGCTTTTTGATGCCGAGGTATTAACCACGAAATGCATCACGACCGTGTACCGGTTGTTTTTCTACATGTACGGACGCACTCGGAGACGGAGGTAAGTTAAGGGCTTTCGCCGAGTGTTTATTAAAGCTGTTACAATATTACACAGAAGGGTACACAAATCCCAGGGGCTAGGGGTCCTACTCTGAGTCCGGGTCTGCCGGCTGCTCCGGTCTCTCTCTCTCGTGTCGGATCGTGGACTCTGCCGACTCCACCGAGCGGAGAGAGAAGCACCTCTACGGCTACCACCGGCTTCTCCCCCGACTCCTTATTCGATCCCTCTCTCTACCCCTGGTTCCCTCTTCACCCTGCTCACTCTACCCGTTCCCACAGTGACCCCGCTCACGTCACGGGGTCTCCCTTAAGTACCCGAGGAGACGTGACGTCATCGCACTGAACGGCACACCTGACGTCACGTCCCCATTTTACTCCTCTACACACGTGTAATGACGACTTGACACGTTTGAGTTGAGATGGTTTCTTTATCATAGACACGTTCACTCGAACAGGCGGAGACCCCCACTGCAACAGCCCCGAGTCTCCCGCGCATCTCCCCCTTTTATACGGTCCGAGGTCACGCCCCCATTCCCGAACCTTCTCGCTGGTTCTAGACCGCTCGCTCCACCAACAAACTCCTTCCACACCCCCCGCCCCTGGGCGTGGCTCCCCGAGGCTTGCCGTGACGTAAGGGACCACGTGGTGATTTACAGGCAACGTTAGTTGAGCGTGGACAATTAGAGCCGTAAAAATAATTGTTTAAATATATTTATTTTTATTTTCAATGATAAAATATAGTATTGTCATCAGTATGACATAGCTATACCAAGTTTGCAATCGCTCATCCAGCAGCGGAGTGAGACGTGCGTGCATTGTCGTTGCAGGTGCAGCTGGTGCACTCTCTCGCCAGGGCAAGGCAACGCTGGGGCAGTCCAGGGGAGGGGCAGCTGCCCACCCACTTGGGGGGATGGGCCCATTTGGGGGGCTGGGCCCCCCGCAGCGATGAGGCGGGGCCCCCGGGGACTCTGCCCGTCCGAGTGTGGATGCTCGGCACTCCTCATCGCCTCCATAAACCGCCGGCGGCGTTCACACGGTGCCCCCCTGTAGCTCCCGAGTGTGCTCGTGTGCACCGGTGTGCATCAGAGGTCGCAACCGGGTACCCGATACCCGTACCCTACCCGATACCCAGCTACCCGTACCCGGCCGGGTACGGGTACCCGTCTGCGACCCTGGTGCGGCCGGGTAGGGGTACGGGTAGGCTGTGAGTCACTGGTGAGTAACCGTTTGTCACTCATTTCCCAACGTCTTGTCTCTTCTCACAATTTAAGTTCCTAGAATCAACCCACCCGCGCCTGCAACATGGCTTCATCCAGAGAGGTCGCAATCAGGTACCCGATACCCGTACCCTACTCGTACCCGGCCGGGTACGGGTAGGGTAAGTGTATAGCCGGGTACGGGTACGTGTACCCGTTTGCGACCCTGGTGCGGCCGGGTACGGGTACGGGTAAGAAATCAAAACCCGTTTGCGACCTCTGGTGTACATGTACGGCGTGCGTGTGTCTGTCTGTGTGTTTTACACGTGTGTGTGTGTTTGTGTAAGGGTCTCTCTGTGTGTAGACGTGTGTCTGTTTACGTGGGGAGCCGGTAGTGTAGCGGTTAGCGCCATGCTGCGCAATTGAACTTGGCTACCCGGGTTCGATTCCCGTGCACGGGCAATGCCGGTGACGAATATCTGAACTGGTCCTGGGCCTCCGCTAGGTCGATTCGGCCTCAAATGAGTACCTGGTGCGGTGTGTGTAGTAAACATTTCTACTGGGGAGACAAAGGCGGCCGGGCGTGGTGTTGACCACCCACCCCCTTGTGTGCCGTGCCGGCCTTCATAAATGCTCGCTAATAGCACTTGCCCCAACAGTCTGTTAAGGCTATGCGGGGGATCTTTGTCTTTTGTGAGTGTGTTTACATGTAATGTCTAGACACAGTGCCATCGGGGAGCTCCTCTGGCAGGCAAGGCTGCATTGGCTGGGTCATGTAGCCCGCATGCCCAGCCACCGAATGGCCAAGCATCGCAAGCATCATGTGTTTGGCCGCATAGAGGGGGCTAAACAGGCACGGCACGGTCTCGAGCAGAGGTGGCCTGATGCAGTACAGGAGGATGTGGAGCTGAGTGGACTTGCCGACGATTGGTATCAGCGGTGTCAAGATCGGCCTCTGTGGAAGAGGCTCCTGAAGGATGCTGCTACTGGGCAGTTGGAGGCGGTCACTCTCCAGCAACAACGGAGGGCCGAGTGGCTAAAGCACAGAGAGTTGGCACAGTCGGGGGGCACAGTTGGTGCATATGCTAGTCATTTTCAGTCAACCCATGGCACCTGGGTCTGTTGTGTGACCTGCCAGCGTGCCTTCGGCACTTCCCGTGACATCAAAGTGCACATAGCCTGGCACAAGCGCTGTTGTGACGTCACCACCACTAAGTGGTGAACGACGATCGTTGCGTTATGTTGCGTAGCTCTCTGATGTGTGTTCAGCTTGTGCCGCGTGTTGTTCTTGTGTAAAGATGCACGTGTTTTCGCAAGCACGGTTAATTCGATCGTCGGCACGCGGACATTCGCGTTTGCAGTCGAGTGTCAACGCATGTGGAGTGTCGTGCGTTTGTGTAGCACACAGTCGTAGACGAGGTAGTTGCATAGAGGCACCTTTTATTCGTTGCACCATTCCGGCCGTTCACACACACCGGATCGCCTCCTCTCCCGACCACGTTGCCGTACAGCCCGGCCTAGACACAACCCTGACCGCGTTGCACCCACGGCGTTGACCGAGACAGTCAACGACTGTCCGGCCGCGGAATTATCGGGCGAAGGTGGCAGCGATGAAGGCGGTGACGAGTCCACTCCCAGAAACGGCAGCCCAGAGCTCTCGCTCTCCGCTGCTTTTATTCTACTCGGCGCGGCCTGGCGCGGCCTGGCTCCGCCCTGGCCGCGCCTCCCTTCTCGAACCCACTAGCGGGTATTAATTATAGATTTGAAGCTTTCGTGACTGCAAGGATTCATACTCTTAGGTTTTTTCTGTAATTTTAATAAAAAATTTTTACCTACGTGACTTTACCGAAAAAACCTAAGAGTACCACTAGCGGGTTCTAGGGCCCTCTGGATGAGGTCTTCCGTGACCCTTCCCCCAGTTCCTCCGCCCTGCCGGCACACACACCGTGTATATGCTCGATGGCGTGTGCGTGAACTGTCCACCGCAGTTGCCGCCACTGGACAGCAGTCGGCGCTGTGTCACTACACATGTAAAACGGTGTGCCTGCGTCTTTTTCCATCAGGAATGCCGAATTGCTGCCGCACGTGATAGGGGCCGAGACTGAAGATGAAATTGCTGCGAGGGAAGTCAGAAACCTTGCCGATGACGTGGGTACGTTGTTCCTGTTCATTATATGTGCAGACCCTCTGGCTGCTACCGTATGCAGACCCGCTGCTGACTCTCTGTGCAGCCCCGCTGCTGACTGCAGCCTCCTCGCTGCTTCGGGTCGGTCACCGCTGGCCAACGGTGCCGATCCTCGCTCCCCCGTGTTCGTGGCGATCTCGCCACCCTCCGCTTCGCCCTTCGTGGCCTCTCTCTGTTCCTGGTTCCCCGTCACTCCCGTCCTCTTCCGGTTCCCCTCCTTCTATAGCCTAACCCCTCACCCCCCCACGTGACCTAACTCCTCCCCTCCTGACGTCACCTCCGGAGGGCCGTTTACGCCCGCATTACATAGGTATCACTTCCAAATTAAGGTTTTCCCGCTCTTGTATTCCCTGTACTTGCTCATTACATTGATCAATCTGCTGCTATGTAAATGTTTACGTCATAACCCACGTGCGTGCATGATGTTTTTCCTAACTTGTTTTATTATTGACTGTGTCTGGAAATGTGCTTTGCACTTGGACTATATACATTGTAGATTAGCTCTCCGGCGTGTAATTTTTTTCCCGGTGATACCATGCGTTGTTCAGCAATTAGCAACCTTTGTACACCACCACAAGAAACTAAACTAAAATTTTATATTTAACCAGGTGTAAGGCCCACTTAGCTACATATCTTGTTTTCAGAAGTGACCTGGCTATCACAAACGATAGCTCAACGAAGTGGCTTATCACGTGGAAATGTATAACAGCCAAATACTCTAAAACGCACGCTGATTCTAAATGTGGAGGGAAAAAAACGGAGAAATATCCACACGGCCACGGGTAGAGAAACACGCAACCTCCAAATATACAGCAGCAGCAGGCGTCAGGGTCGGAATCGAACCCACGACCTCCTGTACACCAGGCGAGATAGTCAACATCTCCTAGCCACCGTGATGATGATGAGAGACACGCAAACTCCAAATATACAGCAGCAGGCGTCAGGGTTGGGATGGAACCCACGACCTCCTGCGTACCAGGCGAGGTAGTTAACATCTCCTAGCCACCGTGATGATGATGAGAGAGAGACACGCAAACTCCAAATATACAGCAGCAGCAGGCGTCAGGGTCGTAATCGAACCCACGACCTCCTGCATACCAGGCGAGGTAGTTCTCTGGAAGGGGAGTGGAGTGAAGGATGTAATGGATGCGAAAGAGAAGGAATGGGAGATGAGAAGATAAGGACGGAGAAGGAACGGAGAAACGGGAACCGAGGGTGCAGGAGAGATGAGGAGAGGGAGGAGGCTGTGTGAGAGCCTAGACAACTGCTGCTGCACAGTTCAGTTTATTTCAAGAGGGTGCAGCAGGGAGATGGGAAGGGTTCAGAGTGGGGGTGACCCAGAGGTCGCAACCGGGTACCCGATACCCGTACCCTACCCGATATCCGGCTACCCGTACCCAGCCGGGTACGGGTACCCGTTTGCGACCTTGGTGCGGCCGGGTACGGGTACGGGTAGCCGCACGTGACTCACCTCAACCAATGGGTGAGAAGGCCGTGAGTCACTGGTGAGTCACCGTTTGTCACTCATTTCCCAACGTCTTGTCTCTTCTCACAATTCAAGTTCCTAGAATCAACCCACCCGCGCCTGCATATTACCCTACCCGATACCCGGCCGGGTACGGGTAGCCGGGTATCGGGTAGGGTACGGGTACGGGTACCCGTTTGCGACCCTGGTGCGGCCGGGTACGGGTACAGGTAAGGAATCAAAACCCGTTTGCGACCTCTGGGGTGACCACACAGAAGTCACGTGATTCACATGAGGGTGAAACCGATGTAGATATACTGATGACGGCTGACATCCCTCTCCACGTGCCCAGTAACTGAACCATTCGGGAGTTGAAGCTCTTAGCGCTACGGAGCGAAACGTCGGGACATCGTGTCCGGAGGACGGTACAGGCGCGAACGACCCGGAATGGCACGCGAGAGTTTAGCAGACGGCGGCGCGCCGAACCTGAAAACGTGGACGGGGTGTACGTGTACGTCGCGTGCGACTTGCGAACGTGTCGTCGTTTTTCTCTCTCACTGCAGTGGCGCAGAAGGTGGGGTCAGACGTGGTCCAGAGGGTGACCGAGCGACGTCGGTTGAAGCACGAGGCCACCCTGCGCGACTTCTCCGTCGCGCTCGGGCAGATCAACTCGGTGAGCGATAACGGAGCATGGGGAAATGCCTTTAGAGCCCGCGGGCTGGCTAGATGTGGCACGTGACTTCGTTTGTTCGGAAGCCACCAGAGATGTGCACTTTGAAATCATGGAGGTTGAAAACTTGCCACGTATGAACCACGACGCTTCGCCGACCTCGTCAAGGAACATCACCCGTCGCGCGAACTCCGGTCACCCTCCCAGCGGCGGCTTTTGGCTAAGCCATCATCTGATGATGATTGCTTTTGTTGCAGTCGAAACTTCGTGTGAATTTATTTTGTTTTAGATTTTTTATTATTTTATTATTTCCCTTCTATGTGACTTTACCGAAAGAACCAATAAAACAGGTGTTAAGATGTTCGAACACCAAATAGAAACCCTTTGCAAGGAATCGTGTCTGCATTAACCACAAGTACTTGTGGTGAACATGCAAACAAAACGAGGGTAAAACCGATTCTTATTTTCCTGTGTTTAGTTTTTTGTCCTTCCCCTCCGCACCTCCAATTTGCACGGTGGGCTACGTACGGTGCTGCGAAAGAAGGTCAACATGCGTACGTACGTAAACAGTTATCCATAATGCAAGTTTTTTGGGTTATATCGCATAAATATATGTGTCGTTAAACCTGCCATCACCCGACACAGCCAACACAGCCAATTAGTAAGGATTGTCACGTAAACAGAACATCTATAATAGATTTTTTTTTTGGGTGATATCGCGTAAATATATAAATGTGTCTTTAAACCTGCCACCTCCCGACACAGCCAATTAAGGTTTGTCACGTGAACAGAACACGCCGACTCGTTGGCATGCCAACAACCCCAAAAAATGTATTATGGATGATATTGGTCGCGAAAGCCTTCGTGTTAAACATGCAAAGTTAAATTTCGATTTTAAGCTTTCGTGACTGCAGGGATTCATCTTCTTGGTTCTCTCGGTAAAGTCACGTAGAAGGGAAATAATAAAATAATGTTTTATTTTTATTATTTTATTATTTCCCTTCTACGTGACTTTACCGAAAGAACCAAGAAGAACATACAATGTTAGTTTAACACGTGTGAGACTTTCGCGACCAATATTATTCATAATAAACTTTTTGGGTCAGATCGCGTTATTTATAAATGTGTCGTAACCCTCCACCACCCGACACGGCCAATCAGCAAAAAAGTGTCACGGGCAAATTGCCCGATGATGCTGGATGTAAATTTCGATTTAAAGCTTTCGTGATTGCAGGGATTCATCTTCTTGGTTCTTTCGGTAAAGTCACGTAGAAAGGAAATAATAAAATAATAAAAATAAAACGTCGTGAGAATTATTTTATTATGTTTTATTTGTATTATTTTATTATTTCCCTTCTACGTGACTTTACCGAAAGAACCAGGAAGATGCTGGATGTAATTACCAGCGAAACGTCGTACTCAAAAATTTTAAATGTTGTGGATTCACTCTTGAACACACCGGTGGGCTAAAGTAGTGAACTATTTGTCTTTTTCATGTGACCTCCTTTGTCAGTACCAAAATATGATAATAGGTTTTCGCCTTTTTATCTGGCAACAAAACAGATGTTACGATTTCGATTTAAAGCTTTTCGTGACTGCAGGGATTCATCTTCTTGGTTCTTTCGGTAAAGTCACGTAGAATGGAAATAATAAAATAATAAAAATAAAACATTAAATAATTCTCACGACGTTTCGGCCACAACGCAAGCAGCCATCCTCAGGTGAAGAAAATGTCATTCAGATGCTTTCTTTCCGACAGACCTGTTCTTCACCTGAGGACGGCTGCTTGCGTTGTGGCCGAAACGTCGTGAGAATTATTTTATTATGTGTTAATTTTAGTATTTCCATTCTACGTGACTTTACCGAAAGAACCAAGAAGATGTTAAAATGTTAAAACACTAAACTGAAACCTTTTACAAGGAATCATGTCTGCATTAACCACGATACATTTTTTTGTTTTTTTGTTTGCATTCTGACCTCAAGTATGTGTGGTTAATGCAGACATGATTCCTTGTAAAAGGTTTCAGTTTGGTGTTTTAACATCTTAACACAACTGTTTTGTTTCGATTTAAAGCTTTCGTGACTGCAGGGATTAATCTTCTTGGTTCTTTCGCTAAAGTTTTGTTGCCAGAATAAAGGGGAAAACCTATTCTCATATTTGTCTTTTATCAACGTGACACTTTTTTACTGATTGGCCGTGTCGGGTGGTGGAGGGTTACGACACATTTATAAATAACGCGATCTAACCCAAAAACGTTTATTATTCACGCAAAGTTAATCTGCGTGAAAAACGATAATCGATTCAAGAGTCGGTGTTCGCGCGCTTGTTTTCATAGCACCGAGTACCACCTCTCATTCACATTTTTCGGTCTCTTTTGCGTTACTGATACAACCTCATCTGCTGCGCCATTCCTATTGCTGCGGTTATACCATCTGGATTGGAGTTCTGTGCAGCCCCCGTAAAAAAAACCTCTCTTCCCTCCTGAACCCATTGGGCCCTAACCCGATCGATATAAACCGACTCATGGGATTTCAATGCGCACGCTTGCAGGATCTGGAGCGTCGCTACGAGGAGGCTGGGGAGAGGCTTCATGGTGATTTGTCCGCGAGCGACGCCGGCATGGAAGAGCTGATGTGCAGCGTGGAGGGCGAAGGGAAGCTTGCATCGGTGTCATTTCAGGTGCAAAGATAAATATCCCCCCCCCCTCCCCGTATAGCCTCAACAGACTGTTGGGGCAAGTGCTGTTAACGAGAAACATCTCAACACCTATGAAAGCCGGCATGGCACACGAGGGGCAGAGGGGGGATGGGGCAGCGGGGGGGTAAAGCGTGCATGCTCCCACCTCTGCCAAGACGTCTCGCCAGCTTGGGATAGTAGCGTCACGATACCCTTTGGAGGGGAGCCCTCTAGACATCAGAGGTCGCAAACGGGTTTTGATTCCTTACCCGTACCCGTACCCGGCCGCACCAGGGTCGCAAACGGGTACCCGTACCCTACCCGATACCCGGCTACCCGTGCCCGGCCGGGTATCGGGTAGGGTACGGGTATCGGGTACCCGATTGCGACCTCTGGGATGAAGCCATGTTGCAGGCGCGGGTGGGTTGATTCTAGGAACTTGAATTGTGAGAAGAGACAAGACGTTGGGAAATGAGTGACAAACGGTTACTCACCAGTGACTCACGGCCTACCCGTACCCGTACCCGGTGGGGTACGGGTAGCCGGGTATCGGGTAGGGTACGGGTATCGGGTACCCGATTGCGACCTCTGCTAGACATCTCACTCAGCGCGGTGGTTCTTGACATTTTACTGCAGCCGACACGGAATGGCATGAACGTTGTCGTTGTCGGTACGGATCAACTTTGCCATTTCGCATCGCAGCCCTATAGAGGAAAATCTCGCAGAGCGTGGCTTGACGATGATGACGACGACGACGACATCATACGAGATTGGCGCATCAGAACAACGTTGCCGCGTGAACACATTGTCATCACAGGAGAGAGGAAAGTGGAAACAACAAGTGACAAAATGTGCAGTGGACCACACCAACTGCGGGCTGTGTGCACCCGTGGATTGTTGACGACGACGACGATGCTGTGAGCCGGCAAATCGTGTCGCCACTTCGTCTGTGGAGTAGGGGGAGGTCACTCTCAGACTTGCTTCTCGGGATCTGTCGCCCCCCAACCTTTTCCGTTGAAGGAGCTGGAGGCGGCATGGTCGGACGTAGAGAAGCGTTCGGAATCGCGAGAGGCCCGGATTCGCGACTTGGACGTTGCCTATGGGAGGCTGGAGGACGAGAGGGCGGACAAGGTGAGGCTTGTGTTGGTCACGATTGGGACCGCTGCTTTTAAGTGTTGTCCTTACCCCCCTTACTTACTCGTAGTACAGAGTTATGACTGATGGCCTTAATCTAAGTTGTCTTGTGGTTGTTGTTGTTGTTTGACTTTCATGGCTTTATTTTGGTGATTTCGAAAGGTGTATTGGTTTGGCCATGTTTGTTTGTTGTAGTACAGAGTTAGACTGATGGCCTTAATCTAAGTTGTCTTGTGGTTGTTGTTGTTGTTTGACTTTCATGGCTTTATTTTGGTGATTTCGAAAAGTGTATTGGTTTGGCCATGTTTGTTTGTTGTAGTACAGAGTTAGACTGATGGCCTTAATCTAAGTTGTCTTGTTGTTGTTGTTTGACTTTCATGGCTTTATTTTGGTGATTTCGAAAAGTGTATTGGTTTGGCCATGTTTGTTTGTTGTAGTACAGAGTTAGACTGATGGCCTTAATCTAAGTTGTCTTGTGGTTGTTGTTGTTGTTTGACTTTCATGGCTTTATTTTGGTGATTTCGAAAAGTGTATTGGTTTGGCCATGTTTGTTTGTTGTAGTACAGAGTTAGACTGATGGCCTTAATCTAAGTTGTCTTGTTGTTGTTGTTTGACTTTCATGGCTTTATTTTGGTGATTTCGAAAAGTGTATTGGTTTGGCCATGTTTGTTTGTTGTAGTGCAGAGTTAGACTGATGGCCTTAATCTAAGTTGTCTTGTGGTTGTTGTTGTTGTTCGACTTGCATCCCACTGGGATTTTTGCACACAGTGTTGGTGTGCGGTGCTTTTTCTGCAATATTTTGCTGTCTTTTTTTGGATTTTCTGTTTGCACATATTCACTTTAAGATGTTTTCTTGTTCATGTCTTTGTTTTTTTTGTTTGTTGCGGTTGCACCCGATTCAAGAGCCGAATGGCTCACAGGGCTATACCTAATCAATGAACTTGAAACTTGAAACCCCCCCCACCGCGCACCTCCGATTAGCGCGCGGTCGGCTGTGTACGACGGTGCTCGAAAGACGTTCACCGCACGTACGATGCGCAGTCCTCAACCACCACTCAAATTCTCAGGCCTCTGCTCTGAAGAAGAGCCTTTACCGATAACCTTGCCTGTCATAGATTTATATACAGCGACGGCTGCACTCCGGCTCCGGGTTGCCGTTGACACACGCGGCGCGCTCTCGCACACTCAGATCGGCCGGGCGCTGAGGACGTACGCTCAGCTGATGGAGAGAATTGCCTTCGTCCGGCCTGAAGAAGTCCAGCGCTTGATGGACGGGGAGGCAATGGTGACGATGCGTGCACCGCGCTACCAAGTGACGCCACCTCCATTTGCATCGTCATTGCCATCGTCACCGGCTTCATCATTGTCATCGTTAGATTTTTTTCATGGATGTATGTTGAACTCCTTTACATTATACACTACACTACCATACACTATACACTACACTACACACTACACATTGGGCTCTATGAATGACGCCATCTCCATTTGCATCGTCATTGCCATCGTCACCGGCTTCATCATTGTCATCGTTAGATTTTTTTCATGGATGTATGTTGAACTCCTTTACATTATACACTACACTACCATACACTATACACTACACTATACACTACACATGGGGCTCTATGAGTGACGCCATCTCCATTTGCATCGTCATTGCCATCGTCACCGGCTTCATCATTGTCATCGTCAGATTTTTTTCATGGATGTATGTTGAACTCCTTTACATTATACACTACACTACCATACACGTTACATTACTATACACTACACTACTATATACTACACTTTACACCACTCTACTATACATCGTTAACATGGGTTCTACTGTATAATTATAACATAATTGTCAAATACGAACATGAAATTGTCACTTGTCCCAAGCGCTAAACGTGCCAACCAGAACATTTGTCACCACCAAATTTAGCAATTAGATATGACGCTTCATTTGACACTGATCCGGCGCATCTTCAGGAAGTCAGAATAAACTCCGGGAAAGTTAGAATGGTTGTCACGGTAATATTGTCATATTTATCAGGAGGGTCCTGCTTGCTCGACTGGAATTTTTATTTTAACAAAATATTCAGCCAATTAATGGTGAATCATGTTTAGTATTCACGTAGGGAGGACACCGGAGCACCGGGATAAACCCCGTGCCTTGCGTGACGGGGAAACGCCGTATCCCCGTACAGATGGAAACAGATGGAGATTAACCCTCACTTTTTTTCTTTCTTCTTGGTTTTTTCGGTAAAGTCACGTAAAAGGGAAATAATAAAATAAGAAAAATAAAACATAATAAAATAAAATAATACAATATTATAATATATTATGTATATAGTAATATATTTAATACTATGGTTATAATAATATATTTTATATACAATAATATTTTTATTATTTTATTACTTCCCTTCTACGTGACTTTACCGAAAGAACCAAGAAGATGAATCCAAGCAGTCACGAAAGCTTTAAATCGAAACCTCACTTTGTTGTGCCGCCTTTTCCCGGCAGAGCCAGGTTGCCATCTCCTCCTCGTCACCCACCCAAGCGATAGGAGTTTTGCAACAGCTGCCTATGATAAAAACACGTATTTTTTTTTTCGATTTAAAGCTTTCGTGACTGCAGGGATTCATCTTCTTGGTTCTTTCGGTAAAGTCACGTAGAAGGGAAGTAATAATATAATAAAAATAAAACATACTATAATAATTCTCACGACGTTTCTTTTCCAGCCACAACGCAAGCCACAACGCAAGCAGCCGTCCTCAGGTGAAGACCAGACAACGACCAGGTCTGGTCTTCACCTGAGGACGGCTGCTTGCGTTGTGGCCGAAACGTCGTGAGAATTATTTTATTATGTTTTATTTTTATTATTTTATTACTTCCCTTCTACGTGACTTTACCGACTTTACCGAAAGAACCAAGGAGATGAATTTAATTTTATTTTTTAAGAATGAGTGAGTGGTGTAAATGAATGAGTTAACGTGTATTTCCCCGACCACCACCACCACCTCCGCCACCACCACCCCCTCCTCGTGCGCCCCAGATGCTGAATCAGTCGCTGCTCGCGAACCGACGTGCGCTGTCGCGTCTCTCGCTGCACCTCTCCGAATCGGGGCTGCAGCTGGAGGCTTCGCTCAGGCAGCGCTGGGAGGAGGCCCTGCGGATGTGGAGAGGACTGAGACGGGCGGCCGTGACGAAGGAGTTCCGGTCGGTGGTCGTCGTTTTTTTTTTTACGCGCTCTTATTTTTTAACTCACTTCGTGTGTTGTTGTATCCTCGAAAAAGAAATCTTGTGACTCGGTATTGACACACTTCCCAATGTCGTATCGAATGCAAACTTGGTATAGGTATTCATAATAAAGGTTTTTGGGTTTAGATCGCGTTCATCTTCTTGGTTCTTTCGGTAAAGTCACGTAGAATGGAAATAAAAAAAATAATAAAAATAAAACATAATAAATTAATTCTCACGACGTTTCGGCCACAACGCAAGCAGCCATCCTCAGGTGAAGAACAGGTCTTAGAGTCGCGGCATCTCTTCAGAAAGGTGAGAGACTCGATTAGCTGAGCCTTCTTATCACGGAGCTTGTTAAACTTTAAGAGCCTTCAACAAGCTCCGTGATAAGAAGGCTCAGCTAATCGAGTCTCTCACCTTTCTGAAGAGATGCCGCGACTCTAAGACCTGGTCTTCACCTGAGGACGGCTGCTTGCGTTGTGGCCGAAACGTCGTGAGAATTATTTTATGTTTTATTTTTATTATATTATTACTTCCCTTCTACGTGACTTTACCGACAGACCTGTTCTTCACCTGAGGACGGCTGCTTGCGTTGTGGCCGGAACGTCGTGAGAATTATTTTATGTTTTATTTTTATTATTTTATTACTTCCCTTCTACGTGACTTTACCGAAAGAACCAAGAAGAGGGTTTCAGCGGTTGCTCCGTGAGGCCCACTTCTGCGGGACCGCTCTGTGATGCAGCTCTCCCTACCAGAGACATCAAAAAGCGAGAAAGATGTGAAAAAAAAATCTGCGGTGAATCAGCACGCTTACGACCCGACGCTCGATGCAATGTCACCCCCCCCCCCTCACCCCCTCTGCCCCCTTTTTCTGCTCAGCGAGTTCATGGAGCGCCACCAGCTGCGTAGTCCACCTGGGGCGGACGCTCTGGTCCAGGCGACGGCGGATGGACAGAGGGAGCTGAACGAGCGACGGATCCGGCTGATCAACTCGCTAGAGTGGGTCGCGGTTTTTGCCGCACGCGCTCAAAGTTCTTCGCGGCGATTGGAAAAGCAACGGGCTGCGTTCACGACTCCGGTTGTTGCCTCGGGCAAAAAGCGCGCGTGTCGCATGAGCGGTCGGCGTCGTGGGTGGGGAGCGGCGGTGCAGCGGTTAGCGCGCTCCCACGCCACGAACCCGAAGACCCGAGTTCGATTCCCGCTCACAGCCACCGACACCATCAGTGACGATTATCTGAACCGGTCATGGGCCCTTCCCTCGGTCGACTCAGCCTCAAATGAGTACCTGGTATGGTGTGTTAACATCGCCACTAGGGAGACAAAGGCGGCCGGGCGTGGTCCCGGCAACCCACCCCCTCGTGTGCTGTTCCGGCCTTCATAGGCGCTCGCTAACAGCACTTGTCCCAACAGTCTGTTAAGGCTATATGGGGGATCTTTGGTGTTGTGAGTGACGGTTGCACATTATATATAGACAGAAACAGATAGACTCAAACATAGACCCTTATACCCACACAGTGACTTATAGACTTACAAAGATAGACATATACTCAACAAATAGACACGTTAGACCCACACAGAGACACATAGACTGGCATAGAGACCCACAGACTTGCATAGAGACCAATAAACTCACACACAGAACGATAGACTTTACAGAGACTCATAAACTCTCAGAGAGACCCACCGAGTTACACAGAGATCCATAGACTCGCGTAGAGACTCACAGACTCGCGTAGAGACCCATCATATATACGACGTGATATAAGCGATGAATTTCACATCACGGGCAAGCGACAAAGTCACAACAAGGCGACGGATCTTTCATAACGGCAGATTGTTTTAATCGGTGCCATCTTACTCGGCTGATGAGACCCGTTAGGTCGAAACCAATGAAGACTTTGACTGCTTTGACATCTTTAGAGCGACCCCTAATCCTATTTACACTGGAGGAATCCGGCGTGCTTTGAAGTTCTCTCTTTCATAGCCACCTGGTCGTTCTTCGCGGATGTCCAGCATGGCCCGGCCGTCACAATCCGCCTCTCTCTCTCCTCTTCCTTCGCCCCCCCCCCCCCCGCCCTCCCCCGCCACCACCCGACGTTCACACAGAGACCTGAAGCCGCCCAGCGTCACGGCGGAGGCGGTGAGCGCGTGGAGCTCATCCCTGGATGCCCTCAATCGGCAGATCGGTACGAGGGATGAGCCGGGGCAGCCGGGCGGGGCAGCTTGCATCCACGCAGAGCGACTGTCACAGATTCAATTCTCAAGCGGGGGTACAGTGATACCTCGGTTCACGAACGCTTCTGTTCACGAACAACTCGGTTCACGAACAGAAAAGTTCATAAAAATACGCTCCGGTTCACGAACTCCGCTTCGGTTCACGAACAGGAGCCGCGGCCATTTTAATGCTATTTCCAGGCTGTCACATGGTCGTGACTTCCTGTAGGAAGATCGTGGAGAGAAGAAGAGACACAGAAAGAAGTACTGTGACTACTGTGAAGACACTTTCAGTGACTTTTTGCTTTTTGGTGTGCTTTTTAGCACATGCAGTACTGTACTGTACTACTGTACTGTACAATACTGTACTTACTGTATTGTACAGTTCACCCGTTTGAGTGCTTACTGAAGTCATCTTAAGCAAGGTTAGTGTTCTCTCTTTATACATTACTATACTGTACAGTACTAATGTGTATTGTTATTTGTTTCATATTTTTGTGCTTCAAAAACCAAAAAAAAAGGTCAGAACGGATTAACCGGATTTACATTGAACCCTGTGGGGAAATGTGCCTCGGTTCACGACAAATTCGGTTCGCGACCAGAGTCAGTTCACGAATTAAGTTCGTGAACCGAGGTATCACTGTATTTAGCCGTTCATTTGGGGAGTTCCGGGAGTTGGTGAATCGCAGATGCAGCCCACTCGCTCGCTGTCTCGCTCGCTCGTCCACTCAATTGGGGTTACACACAGCAGCGGTAACATCGAGCACTTCACTGCGGAAACTTGGCACGAGTCTCCGGCAAAAAGTTGTTGTCCTTGACCCGCACCTCCGATTAGCACGGTTGGCTACGTACGGTGTGAAGGAAGTTCAACATACATACTGCCTATAGGCTAACACTAGCCACAGACTCAACACTGCCCATAGACTCAACACTACCCATAGACTAAACACTGGCCATAGACTCTACACTGCCCATAGACTCTACACTGCCCATAGACTCAACACTGCCCATAGACGAACACTACCCATAGACTCAACACTGCACCATAGACTCAACACTGCCCATAGACTCAACACTACCCATAGACTCAACACTACCCATAGACTCAACACTACCCATAGACTCAACACTGCCCATAGACTCAACACTACCCATAGACTCAACACTGCCCATAGACTCAACACTGTCCATAGACTAAACACTGTCCATAGACTAAACACTGCCCATAGACTCAACACTGCACCATAGACTCAACACTGCCCATAGACTCAACACCACCCATAGACTCAACACTGCACCTCCGATTAGCACGGCTGGCTACGTACGGTACGAAAGAAGTTTAACATACATACAATGGTACGAATAGTTTTGAGACTGAGCGAAGCTTTCCTGGGTAAACAAGCGTAACAATAACAACAACAATAACATGAACGTTGATAATGAAGTTGACAAAGGGGTGAGCGACACTTCATCCGTAGCACATTATAACGGAGTCGGTGGCGGGCGGCGGTGGTGGCGATGGAGTCGTGTCCCGTTTGGCCGAGCGTCTGTCTGTTTGTCTGTCTGTCTGTTCGTCTGTCTGTCTGTCTGTTCGTCTGTTCGTCTGTCTGTTCGTCTGTCTGTCTATCTGTCTGTTCGTCTGTCTGCTCGTCTGTTTGTTCGTCTGTCTGTTCGTCTGTCTGTTCGTCTGTCTGTTCGTCTGTTTGTTCGTCTGTCTGTTCGTCTGTTCGTCTGTCGTTCGTCTGTCTGTTCGTCTGTCGTCTGTTTGTCTGTCTGTTCGTCTGTCTGTTCGTCTGTTCGTCTGTCTGAGTGTCTGTTCGTCTGTCTGTTCGTCTGTCTGTTCGTCTGTCTGTTCGTCTGTTCGTCTGTCTGTTCGTCTGTCTGTTCGTCTGTCTGTCTGTCTGTCTGTTCGTCTGTCTGTCTGTCTGTTTGTTCATCTGTCTGTTCGTCTGTTCGTCTGTCTGTTCGTCTGTCTGTTCGTCTGTCTGTTCGTCTGTTCGTCTGTCTGTTCGTCTGTCTGTTCGTCTGTTTGTTCGTCTGTCTGTTCGTCTGTTCGTCTGTCTGTTCGTCTATCTGTTCGTCTGTTTGTTCGTCTGTCTGTTCGTCTGTTCGTCTGTCTGTTCGTCTGTCCCACCGGCAGACGAGCTGAACGTGCGCCACGTGGAGGGGCTGCGTGCCGAGTCCGAGGTCGCTCTCCGCCGGCAGCTGGACGAGGTGGAGCGATGCCGGGTAAAGGGGGGCTGAGGGGGGGCCCCCCGCTCCACGTGGCCACGGCTGCGCTCGTATCGCACGCTGCCTGCGTGCGCCGTGGAAGATCGCTCGAAATGTTCTTCTTCCTCCTGCCTCCTGCCCGCTCCCTCCTCCCTCCTCCTCTGTCCTCTTCTCGCGCGTCTGGCATTATGAGTGGCAAACTGAACGTGGAATTGTAGTTGTTGCTCTGCATCTACATCAGCCAGGAAGTAGCAAACTAAAAGTTCCGCCACTCAAGCTTATGCAAAGGAGAGCCGACACACGGTTGCAGGGGGTTCGTCTTTTATTCCTTTCCTCCCATCCACACCTGTCCCCAGCTGTCCCAATCTCGACCCCCTCTTCCCGCCCGTTCTCTCTCCCTTATATCTCCTCGCCTGCTCCTCCCCCTTCTCCTGTCACCGTCCCACTCCCCCTCCCATTGGTGGGAATCCTTCCCCTGACACCCCGACACTAGGATGGACACGCGGGCAGGCCGCAGATGCTGCTGAGAGGTATTGCTCTTCGACGCCGTCGCAAACATTTCCAAAGCCATCGCAACAGTCGGTGGTGTGGCCTGCCCCCTGTTCGGTTGGCGGTGTGGCCTGCCCCCTGTTCAGTCGGCGGTGTGGCTGGCCCCCTGTTCAGTCGGCGGTGTGGCCTGTTCAGTCGGCGGTGTGGCCTACCCCCTGTTCAGTCGGCGGTGTGGCCTGTTCAGTTGGCGGTGTGACCTGCCCCCTGTTCAGTTGGCGGTGTGGTCTAACCCCTGTTCAGTCGGCGGTGTGGCCTAACCTCTGTTCAGTTGGCGGTGTGGCCTAACCCCTGTTCAGTTGGCGGTGTGGCCGCCACGCTGTTCGGTCGGCGGTGTGGCCGGTCTGCCATTTGGGTGGCGGTGTGGCCACGGCCACCAACCACTGCCCGCCGCAGCGGAGAGTCAAGGGCACACACCGGTGAGAGTGTCGCGTGCCGTGGGTGACGACTTCCTGCGCGTGTACGCAGCTCGACCTGGTGGCGAGTGGCGTCTGTGCGGGCGAGGAGGAGGCCTGGGAGCTGGTGCGGCATCACCTGCTGCCGCTGGTGGGGGAGCGCCAGAGGGGCTACGAGGAGGAGCTCGCCTCCGTGGAGGTGCGGACAAACAAGGGCGAAGCTAGCCCCGGACACGTAGCAGAGGTCGCAAACGGGTTTTGATTCCTTACCCGTACCCGTACCCGGCCGCACCAGGGTCGCAAATGGGTACCCGTACCCGGCCGTACCCGTACCCTACCCGTACCCGGCTGGGTACGGGTAGGGTACGGCTGGGTACGGGTACCTGATTGCGACCTCTGGGATGAAGCCACGTTGCAGGCGCGGGTGGGTTGATTCTAGGAACTTGAATTGTGAGAAGAGACAAGACGTTGGGAAATGAGTGACAAACGGTGACTCACCAGTGACTCACGGTCTACCCGTACCCGGCCGCACCAGGGTCGCAAACGGGTACCAATTCCCGTACCCGGCCGTACCCGTACCCTACCCGTACCCGGCCGGGTACGGGTAGGGTACGGGTATCGGGTACCCGATTGCAACCTCTGGGATGAAGCCACGTTGCAGGCGTGGGTGGGTTGATTCTAGGAACTTGAATCGTCAGAAGAGACAAGACGTTGGGAAATGAGTGACAAACGGTTGCTCACCAGTGACTCACGGTCTACCCGTACCCGGCCGCACCAGGGTCGCAAACGGCTACCCGTACCCGGCCGGGTACGGGTAGTCGGGTATCGGGTAGGGTACGGGTATCGGGTACCCGGTTGCGACCTCTGCCGCGTAGCCATTAACGGACCGCCGGGGCGGGCGAGTGCTGTTAGCGAGCACCTATTAAGGCCGGCACGGCGCACCGATGTGGGGTGGCTGGTTGGCAGTACGTCCGGCCGCCTTTGGGGCCGTCCATAAATGACGTCACGCACCTAGGTGGGTGGGGGGGGTCAGACATTTCTGACGATGTGTGACGAGGGGGGGGGGGGGTTTGAGAAATGTGACGTCACATCAAAATGCGCAACTTGAAATAAATATTGAATTGTTATAACAACACTAATTGTTATAACAACACTCCTACAACATCAGAGTGCAGCACCACATAAAATACTTAAATACGCATTACACTGATAATAGTGTAAAGCGATTTGAAGCGTGTTTTATTTTCAAAATGGAAATATGGTTTTGGGGGGGGGGGGGCAGAGTTTTGTGACGTCATATTTGAGGGGGGGTCTGACTTTTTGTGACGCCGTGTGACGAGGGGGGGGGGGGGTCAAAAATCGTCCAAAATCGCGTGACGTCATTTATGGACGGCCCCTTTGTCTGCCCGGCACTGATGTTGTCATGCGTGTCATCGTCATCGGCATCATCATTGTCGTCGTCGTTGTCATTGCCATCATCATCGTCATCGTCGTCGTCATCGCCATCATCATCATCATTGTCATCGGCATCGTCATTGCCATCATCATCGTCATCGTCATCGCTATCATCATTGTCATCATCGTTGTCATCGCCATCATCATCGTCGTCATCATCATCATTGTCATCATCGCCATCATTATTATTGTCGTCATCACCATCATCATTATTATCATCGTCATTGTCATCTCTGACATCATCATCGTCATCATCGTTGTTGTCATTGTCGTCGCGATCATCATTATTGCCATCATCATTGTCGTCCTTGTTGTCATCGCCATCATCATCATCGTCGTCGCCATCGTCGTCGTCATCATCATCGTCATCATTGTCATCGCCATCATCATCGTCGTCGTCGTCGTCGTCATCATCATCATCATCACCGTCATCATCATCACCGTCATCATCGTCATCATCGTCGCCATCGTCATCGTCGTCGTCGTCGTCGTCATCATCGTCGTCGTCGCCATCATCATTGTCTTCGTGATCATCATCATCGCCATCGTCGTCGTCATCATCATCGTCATCACCGTCATCATCATCATCGTAATCATCATCGTCATCCCCATTATCATCATCATCATCATCGTTGCCATCACCGTCATCATTACTGTCGTCATCACCGTCGTCATCATCGTCGTCATCACCGTCATCATCATCATCGTAATCATCATCGTCATCCCCATCATCATCGTCATCACCGTCATCATCATCGCCATCGTCGTTGTCATCATCATCGTCATCACCGTCAGCATCATCATCGTAATCATCATCGTCATCCCCATTATCATCATCATCATCGTTGCCATCACCGTCATCATTACTGTCGTCATCACCGTCGTCATCATCGTCGTCATCACCGTCATCATCATCATCGTAATCATCATCGTCATCCCCATCATCATCGTCATCACCGTCATCATCATCGTCGTCGTCATCATCGTCGTCACCGTCCCGCGTGCGTCCTCGCGCAGGCAGCGCTGGAGCGGCAGGCGCGCCGCGCGGCGTCACGGAGCCGCCAGCTCGCTGCCTTCGCCCGCGGGGCGGCGCGGCTCTGGGAGCGCCACGTGGAGCAGCTGGCGCGGCGGGACGCGCGGCTAAGGGACAGGATGGAAGCGTCGCGCAGGGAGCACGACATGGCCAACCAGGTGGGCCTCGTCGCCGACCCCTGACCACGGAGGACCAGTTTATTCATTAGGCACCCACCACCGTCTCGTATTCACCACAATGCATTGCGGGCTCTGGAGTCCTTTTTTTTAATTTGAATTAATTTTTTTTGTGTTGCCGACCTCCCCCCCCCCCGCCCCCCTGGCCAAACCTCAGCCGCGATGATGTTGGTGTTGTTTGTTTGCATTCTCCCGGCTCTGTTCCTCCACCACCGCTCCCATCACCTCTCCACCACCGCTCCCATCACCTCTCCACCACCGCTCCCATCACCACTCCACCACCGCTCCCATCACCTCTCCACCACCGCTCCCATCACCTCTCCACCACCGCTCCCATCACCTCTCCACCACCGCTCCCATCACCACTCCACCACCGCTCCCATCACCTCTCCACCACCGCTCCCATCACCACTCCACCACCGCTCCCATCACCTCTCCACCACCGCTCCCATCACCTCTCCACCACCGCTCCCTTCACCTCTCCACCACTGCTCCCTTCACCAATCCACCACCGCTCCCTTCACCTCTCCACCACCGCTCCCTTCACCAATCCACCACCGCTCCCTTCACCACTCCACCACCGCTCCCTTCACCACTCCACCACCGCTCCCATCACCACTCCACCACCGCTCCCTTCACCACTCCACCACCGCTCCCATCACCTCTCCACCACCGCTCCCATCACCACTCCACCACCGCTCCCATCACCACTCCACCACCGCTCCCTTCACCACTCCACCACCGCTCCCATCACCACTCCACCACCGCTCCCTTCACCACTCCACCACCGCTCCCTTCACCTCTCCACCACCGCTCCCTTCACCTCTCCACCACCGCTCCCTTCACCACTCCACCACCGCTCCCTTCACCTCTCCACCACCGCTCCCTTCACCTCTCCACCACCGCTCCCTTCACCACTCCACCACCGCTCCCATCACCACTCCACCCCCGCTCCCATCACCACTCCACCACCGCTCCCTTGACCTCTCCACCACCGCTCCCTTCACCACTCCACCACCGCTCCCATCACCACTCCACCACCGCTCCCTTCACCTCTCCACCACCGCTCCCATCACCTCTCCACACCCCTCCCATCACCACTCCACCCCCGCTCCCATCACCACTCCACCACCGCTCCCTTGACCACTCCACCACCGCTCCCATCACCACTCCACCACCGCTCCCATCACCCCTCCACCACCGCTCCCATCACCACTCCACCACCGCTCCCATCACCACTCCACCACCGCTCCCATCACCACTCCACCACCGCTCCCATCACCACTCCACCACCGCTCCCATCACCACTCCACCACCGCTCCCTTCACCACTCCACCACCGCTCCCATCACCACTCCACCACCGCTCCCATCACCTCTCCACCCCCCTCCCATCACCACTCCACCCCCGCTCCCATCACCACTCCGCCCCGCTGTCTGCGTCATCGTCATTCTCATCGTCGTCTCCAAGCCAGTGCCATGGGGATCCTTACAGCGGGGGTGGTGGTGGTCCCCCCCCCCCGCTGGCTATTTGCTGTTCCGAGCCATAATCGATATGCACTCAGCCCGGGGGGGGGGGGGGGGTAGGGGGGGGGTCGTCAACCTCCGTCTCTGGAGCCGCGTGCGGGTGGCTCTTTTATGGACTGCGGTGGCAGCTCTTGAAAATTTTTTTGGTGTTTTTTTTGTCATCCTGGTTGGCGACCCCCTGACCACGGAAGTCCAGTTCACCGTGGACAGGGGGTCTGGCCACCTGTGGCTCTTTCACGGACCGCTTCGTGGCCGGCCACCGTTTCGTATTCACCACAAATAAAAATTAACCCGTAAAAACAAAGTTTTTCACTATAAATCCTTTATATGCGTGGCGGCTAGAGTCCTCTCGTCCTCTGGCTTGAGATGGCTGCCACCTATGGGTCAGATGATTGTCTGCCAGTATGAAGCAATTGGTAATTAAATATAATAAATTTTTTCCTAAAAAGTGGAAAATTTTGGAAAAAAAATGTCACGAAAATTAATTGTCACACACAACGAGTCTGTGTGCAAAATGTCAGCTCGATTGGATCACGGGAAGTGGGTTAAAAAACGACCGAAAGATTTGCACGGTCATAAGCGCGCAAGCAAGCACGCAAGTGAACTTAATATAAAGGATTTAAAAAAGTCTCTTCTTCGTCATCTTGGTTGCCACCTCCCCCCGCCCCTCCGCGTTAGGCGAAGGAGGCGAGTCTGGACCTGCTGATGGATCAGCTGAGACAGGAGAGCTCTGAGCAGGCGTTGGAGGCCAGCCTGCAGAGAGCCCTCGGCAAGCTGGACTCCATCAAGTCAGGGTAAGGGTCACAGGGTAAAGTCACGTAGAATGGAAATAATAAAATAATAAAAATAAAACATAATAAAATAATTCTCACGACGTTTCGGCCACAACGCAAGCAGCCGCCCTAAGGTGGAGAACAGGTCTGTCGAGAAGACAGTCTGAATGAGCAGCCGTCCTCATGTGGAGAACAGGTCTGTCGAGGAGACAGAGTCTGAATGAGTCCCTGCAGTCACGAAAGCTTTAAATCGAAAGGTCACAGGGTCGTTCGACGTTGGCGCGCGGTGGTGACGCTCGTGCCCTCCTCGCAGCAACAAGGGACCGGGTTTGATTCCGTGACTCGGGTGCACCTCTCTGTGTGGAGTTTGGAGGTCTTCTCTTACTCCCTGTTCTGCAGTGTGAGTCAGTGTTGAGTGTGTGGTGGGAGGAGGCTCGTGAAGGACCGCTGCCTGCTGGGAATGTGGAGGCAGTCGCCCTCCGCCATGGTGAGTGTGTGGGGGGGGGGGGGGTGTGGTGTGAGTGTGTGGGTGAGTGTGTGGGGGGGGTGTGTGGGTGAGAGTGTGAGTGAGTGTGTGGGGGGGGGTGTGTGGGTGAGAGTGTGAGTGAGTGTGTGGGGGGGGTGTGTGGGTGAGAGTGTGAGTGAGTGTGTGGGGGGGGTGTGTGGGTGAGAGGGTGAGTGAGTGTGTGGGGGGGTGTGTGGGTGAGAGTGTGAGTGAGTGTGTGGGGGGGGGGTGTGTGGGTGAGAGTGTGAGTGAGTGTGTGGGGGGGGGGTGTGTGGGTGAGAGGGTGAGTGAGTGTGTGGGGGGGTGTGTGGGTGAGAGTGTGAGTGAGTGTGTGGGGGGGGGTGTGTGGGTGAGAGTGTGAGTGAGTGTGTGGGGGGGGGTGTGTGGGTGAGAGGGTGAGTGAGTGTGTGGGGGGTGTGTGGGTGAGAGGGTGAGTGAGTGTGTGGGGGGGGTGTGTGGGTGAGAGGGTGAGTGAGTGTGTGGGGGGGGTGTGTGGGTGAGAGTGTGAGTGAGTGTGTGGGGGGGGGTGTGTGGGTGAGAGGGTGAGTGAGTGTGTGGGGGGGGGTGTGTGGGTGAGAGGGTGAGTTAGTGTGTGGGGGGGGTGTGTGGGTGAGAGGGTGAGTGAGTGTGTGGGGGGGGTGTGTGGGTGAGAGGGTGAGTGAGTGTGTGGGGGGGTGTGGTGTGAGTGTGTGGGTGAGAGGGTGAGTGAGTGTGTGGGGAATGTGGTGTGAGTGTGTGGGTGAGAGAGTTGAGAGTGTGAGTGAGTGTGTGGGGGGGTGTGTGGGTGAGAGGGTGAGTGAGTGTGTGGGGGGGTGTGTGGGTGAGAGGGTGAGTGAGTGTGTGGGGGGGGGTGTGTGGGTGAGAGGGTGAGTGAGTGTGTGGGGGGGGTGTGTGGGTGAGAGGGTGAGTGAGTGTGTGGGGGGGGTGTGTGGGTGAGAGGGTGAGTGAGTGTGTGGGGGGGGGTGTGTGGGTGAGAGGGTGAGTGAGTGTGTGGGGGGGGGGGTGTGTGGGTGAGAGGGTGAGTGAGTGTGTGGGGGGGGGGGGTGTGGGTGAGAGGGTGAGTGAGTGTGTGGGGGGGGTGTGGTGTGAGTGTGTGGGTGAGAGGGTGAGTGAGTGTGTGGGGAATGTGGTGAGGGTGAGTGAGTGTGTGGGGAATGTGGTGTGAGTGTGTGGGTGAGAGAGTGAGTGAGAGTGTGAGTGAGTGTGTGGGGGGGTGTGTGGGTGAGAGAGTGAGTGTGTGGGGGGGGGGTGGTGTGAGTGTGTGGGTGAGAGGGTGAGTGAGTGTGTGGGGTGGGGGGGGTGTGAGTGTGTGGGTGAGAGTGTGCGTGAATGTGTGGAGTTTGTGGCTTTCCTCCGATATCCTACCATAGCAAAAAAAAAGAACCCACCTTCCCCATATAAAACATCCCGCTGCTGAAAAATCACTCAATGAGGATTACGCAACAGTGGTAGCAAGCCCTGCAGCATCGCTGCAAAATGTTGCCTCGATTATGGAGACCTGAAGCGTTGGCGCTTTCTGACCCGAGTTGGGTGGCGTTGAGGGGTCAAAGGGCAGCAGCCACCCAGGGTCCAAATGGGGCCTCTCAAGCCGGCGGTCTCGAACGAAGAGAGCGCCAATCGACTCGGTTGGGCACCGCGTCTCCGCTCGGCACGACCACGCACCGTGGTCCATAAACCACTGCCCCAAACGAGATTGATCGACGGCAGTGAGTGGAGTGGCGAGATGTTGACGACCTCGCCCCGTATGCCGGAGGTCGTGGGTTCGATCCCGACCCTGATGCCTGCTGTTTATTTAGCGTTTGCGTGACTCTCTCTCATCATCAACATCATCACGGTTGCGAGGAGATGTTAACTACCCCGCCTGGTTTACAGGAGGTCGTGGGTTCGATCCCGACCTTGACGCCTGCTGCTGTATATTTGGAGTTTGCGTGTCTCTCATCATCATCGTCATCACGGTGGCTAGGAGATGTTAACGACCTCGCCTGGTATACAGTAGGTTGTGGGTTCGATCCCGACCCTGACGCCTGCTGCTGTATATTTGGAGTTTGTGTGTCTCTCTCTCATCATCATCACGGTGGCTAGATGTTAACTACCTCGCTTGGTATGCAGGTGGTCGTGGGTTCGATCCCGACCTTGACGCCTGCTGCTGTATATTTGGAGTTTGCGTGTCTCTCTCTCATCATCATCACGGTGGCTAGGAGATGTTAACTACCTCGCCTGGTGTGCAGGAGGTCGTGGGTTCGATCCCGACCCTGATGCCTGCTGCTGTATATTTGGAGTTTGTGTGTCTCTCTCTCTCTCATCATCATCACGGTGGCTAGGAGATGTTAACTACCTCGCCTGGTATACAGGAGGTCGTGGGTTCGATCCCGACCCTGACGCCTGCTGCTGTATATTTGGAGTTTGCGTGTCTCTCTCTCTCTCATCATCATCACGGTGACTCGGAGGTGTTAACTACCTCGCCTGGTATACAGGAGGTCGTGGGTTCGATCCCGACCCTGACGCCTGCTGCTGTATATTTGGAGTTTGCGTGTCTCTCTCTCTCTCATCATCATCACGGTGACTCGGAGATGTTAACTACCTCGCCTGGTATACAGGAGGTCGTGGGTTCGATCCCGACCCTGACGCCTGCTGCTGTATATTTGGAGTTTGCATTGACGCAGCCGTAACAAAAATCAGTGAGCACTGCTGAGCTGCCTTTTGCGTTGCAGGTACGAGGAGTTCCATGGCCAGCAGGTGGCAATAGTGGACGGCTACCCGGCGTCCGTGGCCAAAGAGGTGGAATCGTATGCCCACGCTGTGCAGGAGTACTTCAAGAGTCGGCAGTGGGTGAGCAATTCGCTCACCTGATCACTCGCCCACCCACTCGCCCAGTCGCTTGCCCGCCCGCTCGCCCGCCCACTCGCCCACCCACTCACCCGACCACTCACCCACTCGCTCGTCCACCCGCTCGTCCACCCGCTCTTCCACTCGCCCACCCACTCATCCGATCTCTCGCCCAATCGCTCGCCCGCTCGCCCGCCCGCCCGCCCGCTCGCCCGCTCGCCCACCCGCTCGTCCGCCCGCCCACTCGCCCACCCACTCATCCGACCTCTCGCCCACTCACTCACTCGCCCACCCACTCGCCCACCCACTCCCCCACCCACTCATCCGACCTCTCGCCCACCCACTCGCCCACCCACTCGCTCTTCCACCGCTCGTCCACCCGCTCGTTCACCCACCCACTCGCCCACCCACTCGCCCACCCACACGCACACCCACTCACCTGACCACTCACCCACTCGCTCTTCCACCCGCTCGTCCACCCGCTCGTCCACTCGCCCGTTCATTCACTCGCTCACACAACCCCTTACCCGCTCGCTCACTCACTCAAAGTCTTGAACACACTTTTGGTGCAAGTGCTGTTAGCGAGCAGCACCTATGAAGGTCGGCACGTCACACGGTAGGGTAGGTGGCTAACACTACGCCCGGCCGCCTTTGTCTCCCCAGTGTCGATGTGTACACACCACACCGGGTACTCATTTGAGGCTGATTCGACCTAAGGGAGGCCTAGGATCAGTTCATTTATTCGCTGTCACTGTTGTTATTGGTCGTCACCGGACACAGAGCTCGGGGCCGCTGGCTTCGTAGCGCGACACGGCAATCGCTGTGCGACCGCTCCCCATTCCCACCACGCTCAAGGCAGCATGGCATAGTTCGGTGTCGCATGCGTCCCCATTGTGGGTTCGAGTTCAAGTTCATGTATTAGGTATAGCCCTGTGAGCCATTCGGCTCTTGAATCGGGTGCAACCGCAACAAACAAAAAAAAACATGAACAAGAAAACATCTTAAAGTGAATATGTGACTAAGTGCAAACAGAAAATCCAAGAAAAGACAGCAAAATATTGCAGAAAAAAAGCACCGTATACACCAACGCTGTGTGCAAAAATCCCAGTGGGATGCAAGTCAAACAACCAACAACAACAACCACAAGACAACTTAGATTAAGGCCATCAGTCTAACTCTGTGCGAGGTTTACTAAGACGAGGGGTGGCACAGCGGTTGCCCAACTTCACTACAACCCTGTGACCAGTTAGTGGCCGGGGCTGTGAACGGCAGTGGCGATTTACGATTGCAATGTCTATGGGCAGTGTTGAGTCTATGAGTAGTGTTGAGTCTATGAGTAGTGTTGAGTCTATGGGCAGTGTTGAGTCTATGAGTAGTGTTGAGTCTGTGGGTAGTGTTGAGTCTATGGGCAGTGTTGAGTCTATAGGTAGTGTTGAGTCTATGGGTAGTGTTGAGTCTATGGGCAGTGTTGAGTCTATAGGTAGTGTTGAGTCTATGGGTAGTGTTGAGTCTATGGGCAGTGTTGAGTCTGTGGGTAGTGTTGAGTCTATGGGCAGTGTTGAGTCGATGGGCAGTGTTGAGTCTATGGGCAGTGTTGAGTCTATGGGCAGTGTTGAGTCTATGGGCAGTGTTAGTCTATGGGCAGTGTTAGTCTATGGGCAGTGTTGAGTCTATGGGCAGTGTTGAGTCTATGGGCAGTGTTGAGTCTATGGGCAGTGTTAGTCTATGGGCAGTGTTGAGTCTATGGGCAGTGTTAGTCTATGGGCAGTGTTGAGTCTATGGGCAGTGTGAGTCTATGTGCAGTGTTAGTCTATGGGCAGTGTTGAGTCTATGGGCAGTGTTAGTCTATGGGCAGTGTTGAGTCTATGGGCAGTGTTAGTCTATGGGCAGTGTTGAGTCTATGGGCAGTGTTAGTCTATGGGCAGTGTTGAGTCTATGGGCAGTGTTGAGTCTATGTGCAGTGTTAGTCTATGGGCAGTGTTGAGTCTATGGGCAGTGTTAGTCTATGGGCAGTGTTGAGTCTATGGGCAGTGTTAGTCTATGGGCAGTGTTGAGTCTATGGGCAGTGTTAGTCTATGGGCAGTGTTAGTCTATGGGCAGTGTGAGTCTATGTGCAGTGTTGAGTCTATGTGCAGTGTTAGTCTATGGGCAGTGTTGAGTCTATGGGCAGTGTTAGTCTATGGGCAGTGTTGAGTCTATGGGCAGTGTTAGTCTATGGGCAGTGTTGAGTCTATGGGCAGTGTTAGTCTATGGGCAGTGTTGAATGAATGAGTGTACGTTGAACTTCTATCGCACCATACGTAGCCAAGCGTGCTAATCGGAGGTGCGGGGGAAGGACAACAAACACTGAACACACACAGTGTCGCCACCACGTACGCTTGTTGAACGTCTACCGCACTGCGCGTAGCCGACCGCGCTGATCCGAGTGAGCACTTTACCTTTTGGCGTCATCTGGTCCAACACCATGTGAGACTAGGCTCTAAGGAAAGCTGTCTCGGGTGTGGACCAATCAACTTCAAGGACAGTGCACATTACCAGAGTTATGTTTTTTGTTTGCATTATGACTGCAGGTATTGTGGTCTATGCAAACATGACTCCTTGTAAAAAAAGGTGTCAGTTTTTTTGCCAGATAAAAGGTTAAAAAAACAATTAGCATATTTTGCTACTGGCAAATGAGGTTCCAATGGTGAACACTTTGCATCTCCTGTCTGTCTCCCCCAGCGTGGTGTCGTCACAGCGACAGACGCTACGCCCGAGTCCGGATCGCCGCCAGACCGCGACAAGGGTGAGTGTTTTCCTCCGCAGGCGCTCTCTCTTTCGACGTTCCCCCCCACCCCCCCGCTCGCCACTTCTACCCATCGACTCCGCTCGCAGTCGTTCGGAGGCCACGGGGACATCGGTTTCCTCCCACGATGACGGCGTCGAGTGCCCGGGCGTTGGGCGCGAGCGGGAGACGGCGCTGCCGGGGCTGGTCGCAGTCGGTGCTCTGGCAGTCTAAATTTCGATTTAAAGCTTTCGTGACTGCAGCGATTCATCTTCTTGGTTCTTTCGGTAAAGTCACGTAGAAGGGAAGTAATAAAATTAAAAAAATGAAACATGGTAAAATAATTCTCACGACGTTTCGGCCACAACGCAAGCAGCCGTCCTCAGGTGAAGAACAGGTCTGTCGGAAAGACAGCGTCTGAATGAGACACCACCAAGCTTGGCAGCGTATTTTTAAGCTGGGTTGGAGGGGGGGAAGTGGCGCCTTGACAAAGGAATTTGCATATCAAGAGGAATTTAGCATATTTATGGGAAATGCAGATATGGGATTAGTCACTACTTGTGGAATGCGTAGGAGGTGGGGGGGGGGGGTTTCAAAGTCATATTATGCCGGTGCATTATGCAGTATGCAGGATTAGGAGCATCAAAGGGAGGGAGTAGGGTTAGCAGTAATAGAGGGAAGGAATTTTAATAGTAAGGAGACTTCCAACAGGCGTCGAAGTCGGTCAACCCATTAGCGCGATGCTGGATCTGTCCCGAGACCTCCTGTCGGCAGCGAGCCTTCGACACTTCTCGTGGTAGCCTCAAAGTGCACCTGGCCTGGCACAGGCGCCGTGGGGACGTCACCGCCGCTTTGTGGCGAATGGCGATTGTTGTTATTGTGTGTACGTGGTGGTGCGTCTGACAGTCATCTTAGTCAACCCATGGCACCTGCTGGGTCTGTCCCGTGACCTCTGCCAGCGAGCCTTCGACACTTCACGTGGCCTCAAAGTGCACCTGGCCTGGCACAGGCGCCACCGCCGCTTTGTGGCGAATGGCGGCCGCTGTTGTTGTTGTTGGTGCAGTCGTGTGGCGGTCAGCGCCCCTCCCGCCCGCCCGCCCGACAAAGTCGGCGTGCCGAGTTCGATCCCCCGCTCATGGGCAACACCAGTGACGACTATCAATCTGAACCGGTCCTGGGCCACCCACTAGGTCGACTCAGCCTCACATGAGTACCTGGTGTGATGTGCAAACATCGCCACTGGGGAGACAAAGGCGGCCGGGCGCGGCGCTCCAGACCAACCCATGCGCTACGTGTACAATTGCCGCGCCTTCACAGGTGCTGCTCACAGCTTCTGCTCCGACATAAAAACTCTTGAGGCTATCCGGGGCATCTTCCTCCCTTGTATCGTCACAGGCTCGAGTCTGGGACGCCGAGACCCTTGGCACGACGACAACGACGACGTCTTCCTGACGGAGACGCGAGAGCGGCAGCAGCACGAGGAGGTGGACGTGGAGGAGGTGGACGCGGAGGAGGTGGAGGGTCTGGAGGTCGCCAAGAAGCTGCCCTGCTACCTGGAGCACACGGAGCTGCGGGAAGAGCTGCTCGGGGTCGTCACGGAGATGTACGACGTCGCGCGCCACACGCGTGTGTGTGTGTGTGCGCGTGTCAGCAGTGTGTGTGTGTGTGCAGTAGTGTGTGTGTGTCAGCAGTGTGTGTGTGTGCAGTGTGTGTCAACAGTGTGTGTACGCATGTGTGTGTCAGCAGTGTGTGTGTGTGCGCGCGTACGTGTGTCAGCAGTGTGTGTGTCAGCAGTGTGTGTGTGGCAGCAGTGTGTGTGTGCAGTGTGTTGCAGCAGTGTGTTACAGCAGTGTGTTGCAGCAGTGTGTGTGTCTGTGTCAGCAGTGTGTGTGTATCAGCATTGTGTGTGGCAGCAGTGTGTGTGTGGCAGCAGTGTGTGTGTGTCAGCAGTGTGTGTATGTGCAGTGTGTGGCAGCAGTGTGTGTGTACGCGTGTGTGTGGCAGCAGTGTGTGTATGTGTGCAGTAGTGTGTGTGTGTGTGGCAGCAGTGTGTGTGTGTGCAGTAGTGTGTGTGTGTGCGTGGCAGCAGTGTGTGTGTGTGTGGCAGCAGTGTGTGTGTGTGCGGTGTGTGGCAGCAGTGTGTGTGTGTATGCAGTGCGTGGCAGCAGTGTGTGTGTGTGCAGTAGTGTGTGTGTGTGCGTGGCAGCAGTGTGTGTGTGTGTGGCAGCAGTGTGTGTGTGTGCGGTGTGTGGCAGCAGTGTGTGTGTGTGTGCGGTGTGTGGCAGCAGTGTGTGTGTGTGCAGTAGTGTGTGTGTGTGCGTGGCAGCAGTGTGTGTGTGTGTGGCAGCAGTGTGTGTGTGTGCGGTGTGTGGCAGCAGTGTGTGTGTGTGTGCGGTGCGTGGCAGCAGTGTGTGTGTGTGCAGTAGTGTGTGTGTGTGCGTGGCAGCAGTGTGTGTGTGCAGTGTGTGGCAGCAGTGTGTGTGTGTGCGGTGTGTGGCAGCAGTGTGTGTGTGTGTGCAGTGCGTGGCAGCAGTGTGTGTGTGTGCAGTGTGTGGCAGTTGGAGGCTCAGCTGCTGAACCTGGAGTGTGCCCCACCTAAACTTAACACCTGCCTCGGTATTTTGTGCCACCAAACACTCCACCCCCTCAGCTCCCCATTGGTGATGGAGCAGTTATGGAGAGAGTGGAGAGTTTTAAATACCTGGACAGTGTGCTTATGACCGGCTCCGGTTTGACGGCAGAGGTCTCACTCCGAATCAGTCGGGCGGCATTATCTTTTCATCGGAATGCGCAATGCTATGTGGAAGCTACCTGGTCTGTCGCTCCGCACGAAGCTTCGGGTCTTCTCGGCCACAGTCATGCCTTCCCTTCTCTACGCTTGTGAAACATGGACCCCTCTAATGGAACATCTGCTCCGGGTAGAAACATTCAGGCTGGCCTGCCTACGATCCATCCTGGGTTTAACCAGGCTGGATTGTGTGAGGAGCTCACAAATCCTTGAAAGATCTGGACAAAGTCCCATCGGTGAGCTCCTCCGGCAGACAAGGCTACGCTGGCTGGGTCATGTAGCCCGCATGCCCAGCCACTGCATGCTTCTGTTTGGCCGCATAAAGGGGGCAAAACGGGCACGCCGCGGGTTGGAGAAGATATTGACTGGTGCGGTACGGAAGGACGTGGAGCTGAGTGGAATTGCCGATGATACCAGCGGTGTCAGGATCAGCCGCTATTCAGGAGGCTCATGAAGGACGCTACTGCTACTGGGCAGTTGGAGGCAGTCGCCCTCCAACAACAACGGGGCAGAGGAGCGACGCTCACAACGAGCGGAGCGCCGTAGCAGGCACAGGTGGTGCATCGGCCACTCATCTCAGTCAGTCGACCCGTGGCACCTGCTGGGTCTGTCCCGTGACCTCTTGCCAGCGGGCGTTTGAAACTTCACATGGTGTGATGTGGTACAGGAGGATGTGGAGCTGAGTAGACTGGTACCAGCGGTGTCAAGATCGGCCTCTGTGGAGGAGGCTCGTGAAGGACGCTACTGGGCAGTTGGAGGAAGTCACCCTCCAACAACAATGGAGGGTGGAGGAGCGATGCTCACAACAACGAGTGGAGCGCCGGGTAGCTAAAGCACAGTAGGGGGCACAGGTGGTGCATTAGCCAGTCATCTCAGTCAGTCGACCCGTGGCACCTGGGTCTACCCCGTGACCTCCTGCCACTTCACGTGGCCTCAAGGTGCACATGGCCTGGCACAAGCGCCGTGGTAACGTCACGGCCACTTCGTGGCGAACGGCGGTTGTTGTTGTTGTGGTAGCAGTGCGGGGAGCGGTGGCGCAGTGGTTAGCGTGCAGCGCTATGAACCCGGCGACACGAGTTCGATTCCTACTCACGGCCAACACCAGTGACGATTATCTGAACCGGTCCTGGGCTTCCCCTAGGTCGACTCAGCCTCAAATGACTACCTGGGGAGACAAAGGCGGCCGGTGCCCAGTGCTGGCCACCCACCCCCGTCGTGCACCTTCCTGACCGTAATAGGTGCTCGCTAACAGCACTTGCTCCAGCTGCTTGTTAAGAGGCTACGAGGGGGATCTTTGTCTTTGGGTTCACTCCGCGTGCATGTAAACACACACACACACACAGTGCCTCATTCTCTGTGTAAACCTCTCTCAGATTTGATTTGCCTCTCATTAAGCCTCTGCTCGAATGCCCTCCCCCCCCCACCGCTCCCTCCTCCCCTCCCTCCCCCCCCATTCATTACACCTTAATTGGAGGCTGAGTGTGGACGCGAGACAGCGGTGGTGAATTCATTCACGACGTCCCCCCCCACCACCTCCCCACTCCATCTCTCCTCTCACTCTCTCTCCCTGGCTACCCACAATTCCTACCGTCAGCCAGGGGGCCGTAACTCTCGCTCACATCGGTGAGGGCCCCCCCCCCCGCCCACCCGCCTCCCCCGCCGACCCCCCCCACCCCCAAATTATCGGAGCGAAAGCTCAATTAATTTCGGCCTTCATTAGTGTTTACACAATATACAACCACGAATTTGGGGAGCTTGGGGACAGGCAAATAGCGGTTTTCCGTGCCGTGGCAGGCCTGGTAATGATCCTGCAAGTGTGTTCCAAAGCGGGTCGTACACTCAGGCTGCAAACGATACTTCAGTTTAAAACGCAGTGGCAGGATTTCGCGACCGATATTATGCATAATGGAGATTGTTGTTATTTTTTTGTTGGCGGTGGGGGGGGGCGGTTAGGTCACGTCAGTATATTTTTTTTAAGACCGAAAGATGTTGTTTTGGGTCAGGTCGCTTAAATATATCAATGTGTCATTAAACCCGCCCACCTCCCGACACGGCCAATTAGTAAGGTTTGTCACGTAAACAGAACGTGGGCAATTCGTCACTAGTACAGCACTAACCGGTGCTTCATCAGGCTGTTACCTGATGAAGCTGGTTGTAATTACTGGCGAAACGTTGTACTCAGATTGTGAATCTTCTTGGTTCTTTCGGTAAAGTCACGTAGAATGGAAATAATAAAATAATAAAAATAAAACATAACAAAACAATTCTCACGACGTTTCGGCCACAACGCAAGCTTGCGTTGTGGCCGAAACATCGCAAAAAATTGTTTTTATTATTTTATTATTTCCATTCTACGTGACTTTACCGAAAGAACCAAGAAGATGAATCCCTGCAGTCACGAAAGCTTTAAATCCAGATTGTGAATGTTGTGGCTTGGCTCTCCGACACAATCCGTCACTAGTACAGCACTAACCGCTTGTGTGTTGGAGAGCCAAGCCAAAACATCTACAATCTGAGTACGACCTTTGCCAGAACATGGCAATTCGTTAGGAACGAAACAGGAGGATATTTCCACAACTCTGGCTGTCGCCTGACGAGACTGGTTGTAATTACGGGTGGAAATGTCGTACTCCAACTGTAAATGTTGCAGTGGGTTTACTCTCCAACACACAACCGGTTATAGTGCTGAACTAGTAACTGATTGCCACGTTTTGTGTACGTGACACAAACCCTTACCGATTGGCTGTGTCGGGTGGCCGTGGCGGGTTTATCGACGCATTTATATTTTACGTGATCTAACCCCCAAAAAAAACTCTTATTATGAATAATATTTGTCGCGAAAGCACCTACGACTGCTACGTGTTAAACAGATGAATTGTGACTGACCAACTTAAAATGTTTTTATTTATTGTAATTCATTTTATTAATGCTTGTTAGCCCAGGAAAGTTTTACCCAAGTCTCAAGACTCTTCCTCTCTCTGGAGGGTCCTGCCAATTGGTGACCGGGCTGAAACCATCAGCTCACTTCGCTTTTGAGAACCCGGTTCAGTCACGGCTGGCTGCCTAGATTTGGAATTCATGGCACTCAGGAGTGCCGACCGAAAGTCTCTGATACAACGTGAGCTCTTCGAGATTTTAAGTTTTCGTGACTGCAAGGATCCATCCTCGGTTCGTTTCGGTAAAGTCACGTAGGTGAAAATAATAAGAAAAGAAAAGTAATACAAATAAAATAAAATAAAAATGAAAATAACTAAATTAAATCTCGACGTTTCGGAAGCAACACAAGCCTCCATCATCAGGTAGGACAGCCACAGCAAGAAATAATTTGTAAATTATTTTGTAAATTATTTCTTGCTGTGGCTGTCCTACCTGATGACAGAGGCTTGTGTTGCTTCCGAAACGTGATTTAATTTAGTTATTTTCATAAAATGTTTTATTTTATTTTTATTTTCACCTACGTGAATTTACCTAACGTGAGCTCTGTGAAACACAAACAAAAACGAATATCCCCCGTGTAGCCTGAACAGACTGTTGGGGCAGGTGCTGTTAGCAAGTAGCACCTATGAAGGCCGGAACGGCACACGAGGGGGTGGGTTGCCAATACCACGCCCGGCCGCCTTTGTCTCCCTCGTGGCAATGTTTTACACACCGCACCAGGTACTCATTTGAGGCTGAGTCGACCTAGGGGAGGTCCGTGACCAGTTCAGATAATCACCACCGATGTTGGCCGTGAGCGGGAATCGAATTCGGGTCACCGGCTTGGTAGCGCAGCGTAGCGCTAACCGCTACACCACCGCTCCCCACCTCTGAACCACCCGCCCGCACGCACACACACACACGATGACATTTGAGAGAACAAGTTGGCATATATATATGGCTTACGCCTTAGCATTATATCCTAAATATCAGAGTGCTTTCAGAGCCAGACATTCTGAAATTGTGCCTCCGACAACCGACGTCTATCACCGAGGCCTTTGTGTCCCGCGATGTCCCTGCCCCCCCCCCCCACCCCTCGCTTTCTCATCTCGGAAAAAGAAAAGGGGGGAGGAGGGCCCCCCCCCCCCCCGTGGCGTTACGTCTTTCACATTTTGATTTGCAGGTCAGCGTTTCGTCTCCCGCGCGGTTCCGACTCCGCGCCGAGTGGATTAACTTCTGCCCCTCTGTGGCTCCTAACCTGCTCAGAATAATGACAAAGGCGATAACGCGTCCAGTGGGATGGCGCGAGACGGAGTGATACGCACGATACTGTGGGAGACGGAGTGATATGAATGATACGATGGCGCTAACCGCTACACTACCGCTCCCCACACACACGCACACACACACGCGCACACACGCACACACACACACGCACACACACACGCGCACACACACATACGCGCACACAAACACGCGCACACACGCACACGCAAACACACACACACGCAACACACACACAAACACGAGCACACACACACATGCGCACGCACACACACACACGCACACACACGCACACACAAACGCACACACACACGCGTACACACACGCACACACACACGCACACACACACGCACACACACGCACACACGTGCACACACATACACACGCACACACAAACACGTGCACACGTGCACACACACGCGCATACGCACACACACACGTGCACACACACACGCGTACGCACACACACACGCACACGCGCACACACGCACACACACACATACACGCACATGCACACGCGCACACACACACGTACACGCACATGCACACGCGCACACACACACGCACACACACACACCGCACACACGCGCACACACGTGCAGTCTGGGCTGGGAGTTTGGCGAGCACGCGATCCTGTGGCGCTCCTCCGCGGAGGAGCGAGCGCGCGCCGTCGCCGAGGCGCAGAAGGAAGAGCTGCAGGCGGAGCTGCAGCTGCGGCTGCATCTGCACGGGCCCCGAGCCTCCCGCGTGCGGCGCGACGTGAAGCAGGCGCGCGCCGGTTAGTGCCGCACCACGCACCCCCCACACCCGGTCGGTGTGCAGCAGTAAAGATGGTCTACGTCACTGCATCACCCACCCCCCCACATTCACCGTGCAGCAGTAGGGACGGTCTACATCACTATATCACCCCCCCCCCCCCCCAGTCAAGTAAAGCAGTAGGGACGGTCTACGTCACTACATCACCCCCCCCTCCCACCCAGTCAATGTGCAGCAGTAGGGACGGTCTACATCACTACATCACCCCCCCTACGTCACTACATCACCCCCCCTCCCACCCAGTCAATGTGCAGCAGTAGGGACGGTCTACGTCACTGCATCACCCACCCCCCCCCCCCCCCCCCCCAGTCAACGTGCAGCAGTAGGGACGGTCTACTTCACTACATCACCCCCCCCCCCATAGTCAAGTGCAGCAGTAAGGACGGTCTACGTCACTGCATCACCCCCCCCCCCCCCACCCAGTCAACGTGCAGCAGTAGGGACGGTCTACGTCACTACATCACCCCCCCCCCCCATAGTCAAGTGCAGCAGTAGGGACGGTCTACGTCACTGCATAACCCCCCCCCCCCACCCAGTCAATGTGCAGCAGTAGGGACGGTCTACGTCACTACATCACCCCCCCCCCCCATAGTCAAGTGCAGCAGTAGGGACGGTCTACGTCACTGCATCACCCCCCCCACCCAGTCAACGTGCAGCAGTAGGGACGGTCTACGTCACTGCATCACCCCCCCCCCCCATAGTCAAGTGCAGCAGTAGGGACGGTCTACGTCACTGCATCACTCCCCCCCCCCCTCCCCAGTCAATGTGATGCAGTAGGGAGGGTCTACGTCACTGCAACAACCCCCCTTCCCACCCAGTCAACTTGCAGTAGTAGGGACGGTCTACGTCACTGCATCACCCCCCCCCCCACAGTCAATGTGCAGCAGTAGGGACGGTCTATGTCACTGCATCACCCCCCCCCCCCCACAGTCAATGTGCAGCAGTAGGGACGGTCTACGTCACTGCATCACCCCCCCCCCCCCCCACCCAGTCAATGTGCAGCAGTAGGGACAGTCTACGTCACTGCATCACCCCCCCTCCCACCCAGTCAACGTGCAGCAGTAGGGATGGTCTACGTCACTGCATCGCCCCCACCCCCCAGTCAATGTGCAGCAGTAGAGACGGTCTACGTCACTACATCACCCCCCCCCCCCCACCCACGAAAATCTGAAAATCAACAAAGCATCACCGCGTCACCTCCATGCGTTGTTGTGCGGTGGATCATGCTCCTAGACCCGGCGCTTCACTGACCCCCCACCCCCCCACCCCTCCACCCCCCCCACCCCCCCACCCACCCCCCCCACCGCCACAGCTCGGGTACGGAAGTGGAAAAAAAAAACGAGACGGAGTTTGATTTCTTTCGTTCGTTGTTGCGCGTGGTGCGTTCCGTGCCTGCCCAGCGGAGCTGAGGGGGCACGGGGAGGAGATGGAGCGGCACTGCGCGTCGGTGGGGCGAGCGCTGGATGGTCTGCGCGATGGCGTGGCCCTGCTCGACGCTCGGCATGACGAGCTGGCGCGCCAGTTCCAGGCCAGGGTCAACGGCCACGACGAAGGATTCGCGCGCGCCAGCAAACCCGACAGGTTGGCCCGTTCGTGCGGACGCGGCGGTGTGTGTGCGTGTGCCCGCGTGTGTGTGTGGGGGGCAAACGCTGTCGTGGACAGTTCTGTGGGGGGGAGGGCCAATTCCGATTTGCCTCTCCCCTCATGGCGTCTGTGACCACCACAGTGGCTAAACGGGGGCTCTGGACCGGTGCGAGGGGCTGGTAACCCCTCCACCTTTCAATAAATGACCACTAAACCACGACTGAAATATCTAACTAATAAGCTTGTGCCGGAGGCCCCGGAGGAACAGGCGTCTATAACGTCTCCTGGCCAATCCCCATTTGGCGGAGCCAGGAGATTGAATTTTTACACTTGGGGCTCCTCCAGAAACAACGAAAAGCCACTACGGATGGCCACGTGGAATGTTCGAACGCTCACTGCTGGTGGAAAGGCTGCCACTCCTCTGTCGGGAGCTGGACCGGTACCGCCTGGATCTCTGTGGCATTAGGAGGTCCGGTGGACCGGCTCTGGCTCCTGCCACCATGAGGGGTGGACAGTCCTCTACTCGGGGCAGGAGACTGCCAAACAACAGGGAGTGGCTCTTCTTCTGAACAAAAGAATAAAGGGGGTGTGGGAGCGTGGCGGTTTTGTGTGGGAAGCTGTAAGCCCCAGGCTATTTTGGGCTCGCCTTCCCATCAACCGGAGGCGAGGAGTGGTGGTCGTGGTTACTTATGCCCCCACCGAAGACGAACATCCGTGGAGGGATGTAGGCAAGGCCGATGAGTCAGATGCCTTTCATGACCTCCTGTCACAGGTACTAGCTAAAGTGGCCCCTCGGGATAGAGTCATCTTGTTGGGCGACTTCAATGCCCGAGTTGGTCATGATGCTGTAACCTGGTCTGGAGTGATTGGAAAGCATGGGCCAGATCAGCTCAATAACAACGGTAGGAGGCTGCTAGATTTTTGTGCAGCCCATGGGCTTGTAATTACCAACACGCTGTTCCGTCATCGGCACATCCACACAACATCATGGATGCATGCCGGGTCCAAGCAAGAATATCTGCTGGACTACATAGTGACGGAACAGCGGATGCGTGCTCATGTCCTTGACACCAGGACCTACCATGGAGCTGATCTGCCCACTGACCATTGACTTGTCATCTGTAAGATGCGCCTGCTATTCTTCCACTCCCTGTGGTTAGTGTACACCCAGGACCCCATTCAAACCCATAGTGGCCTGGTCTCAGCTAGCTGATGAAAGTTGCAAGCGAGAATTTTATCGTCGCTTGCGGCTGGGGTTGGCATCGTCCCTAACTCCTGTTGTTGGGTGGGAAATGGGTGAGGAGCGACCAAGTTTGATTCCCGCTCACGGCCAACACCAGTAACGAACATTGGAACTGGTCCTGGGCCTCAAATGAGTACCTTGTGCGGTGTGTAAACATCACCACGTGGGAGACAAAGGCGGCTGGGGCGTGGTGCTGGGCACCCACCCCCTCGTGTGCCGTGCCGGCCTTCATAGGTGCTCGCTAACCGCACTTGCCCCAACAGTCTGTAAAGGCTATCCCCACTCACTCAACCTGTTACTGACCCAGTCACCCACCCACTCAATCACCCACTCACCCACCCACTCAATCACCCACTCACCCACCCACTCAATCACCCACTCACCCACCCACTCATCCACCCACTCATCCACCCATTCACCGATCCACTCACCGACCCACTCACCCACCCACTCACCCACCCACTCACCAATCCACTCACCCACCCACTCAATCACCCACTCACCCACCCACTCAATCACCCACTCACCCACCCACTCATCCACCCATTCACCGATCCACTCACCGACCCACTCACCCCACCCACTCATCCACCCACTCACCGATCCAATCACCGACCCACTCACCCACCCACTCACCCACCCACTCACCCACCCACTCACCGACCCACTCACTGACATCACGAGGGCCCCTCTCAATCTCCCCCCCCCGCCCCGCACAGGCTGCAGAAGCTGAACGAGGCCCTGAAGGGAGACACGGAGGCGCACACGGAGGCCGTGCGCTCCTCCCTGCGCAAGTTTCGCAAGCAGCTCGAGGACACGGTGGCTCAACTGCGCGGATCCAACGCCAAGTTCATGCGCTCCTTCAAGTAGGTGCTGCTGCTCGTGGCCGGGAGACTGACGATACGGGCGCCACGGTGGCCAGGAGATGTTAACTGCCTCTCTTTGTATACAGGAGGTCGTGGGTTCCATCCCGTCCCTGACGCCTGCTGCTGTATATTTGGAATTTGTGTGTATCTCTCTCCCCGCGGGACGTGCGTCGTTGTGACGTGAAACGCTCGCTGTTATAACGCGAAATGTGCATCGTTATAATGCAGAACTATGTGTGCGTGTGTGTGCGTGTGTGCGTGTGTGTGCGTGTGTGTGTGCGTGCGTGTGTGCGTGTGTGCGTGTGTGCGTATGTGTGTGTGTGCGTGTGTGTGTGCGTGTGTGTGCGTGTGTGTGCGTGTGCGTGTGTGTGCGCGTGTGTGTGTGTGTGCGTGCGCGCTCGTCCCTTCCAGGTTGTTTTCGGAGGGTGGCAACTTCTCCCCGGAGGAGATCGAGGCGTTCCGCAAGCGGCTGGAGAAGCTGTCGAGGCAAATCGACGCGGCCGAGGGGCAGAGCGCAGCAAACCTGGAGGGCCTCGGCTCCAAGCGCATGGAGCAGGTGAAGCCGCAGTGACGACGATGACGACGACGACGACGATAAAATAATAATGATGATGATGATGATTATTACTACTGTAATGTGAGGATATATCCGGCTCAATGACGTATCACAACTCGTCATGGTGATTGGCTCTGCCGGTCTTGGTTTATAGCCAATGGGGGGAAGCCTAGGGGTGTGGCCCTGACGTAATGGGAAGGTGACAGCTGTAAAGATTGGTTCTGCTGGCTTTGGCCACAGCCAATGGGGAGACGAGTCAGGGGCGTGGCCCTGACGTCATGGGAAGGTGACAGCTGCAAGTAGGGGATTGGTTCTGCTGGCTTTGGCCACAGCCAATGGGGAGACGAGTCAGGGCCGTGGCCCTGACGTCATGGGAAGGTGACAGCTGTAAGGATTGGTTCTGCTGGCTTTGGCCACAGCCAATGGGGAGACGAGTCAGGGGCGTGGCCCTGACGTCATGGGAAGGTGACAGCTGCAAGTAGATGATTGGTTCTGCTGGCTTTGGCCACAGCCAATGGGGAGACGAGTCAGGGGCGTGGCCCTGACGTCATGGGAAGGTGACAGCTGCAAGTAGATGATTGGTTCTGCTGGCTTTAGCCACAGCCAATGGGGAGACGAGTCAGGGGCGTGGTCCCGGCAGCTTACGAGGGGGCCTGGAATATTCCATGGAGGCTAACCAGGATTGGTGAAAACGTACCATGTGACCCGGGTATTCAATAGGGGTGGAGACGAACGACACGTGGTCAGTAGGGGATTGGTTCTGCTGGCTTTAGCCACAGCCAATGGGGAGACGAGTTAGGGGCGTGGTCCCGGCAGCTTACGAGGGAGCCTGGAATATTCCATGGAGGCAAACCAGGATTGGTGAAAACGTACCACGTGACCCGGGTATTAAATAGGGGTGGAGACGAACGACACCGTGGTCAGAACGGGAACGAACAGAGGAAGGGGGCCACGTGGGAGCGGGGTTCCGGGTTGCCACGTGGTGGTGTGTGTCTCTCTCTCTCTGTCCCCCTCACCGCTGCCTATCAGCATCGTGAAGGAAAAGCTGTAATACAAGTTGAACAAAGGACGGATTCCAGAAGTCGCCTCAACGAGCTTTATTACACTACTACAAGGATAATATACTTGCAACTTGCAACGGTACCCGCTCGCTCGTGAAGACAGAGAGAGAGGCGGGGGTGAGCGAAATTAACCCGCCGCCCCCTGCCCTCTTCCAAGTTCTGCGGTCCTCTCCATGTCAAGGTGTTATTGCTCAACGGATGACTGGTGACGGATGACAGCCACGATAATGACGATCATCGTGATGATGACGATCAATCGTGATGACGACGACGATAATGGTGATGATGATTATTACGACGATAATGATTTCTGTAATTTGCGTTTAGTTCGTTGTCTTTAGCTCCCCCCTTGCAACTCCGGTTAGCACGGATAGCTGCGTATGGTGCAAAAGAGGTTCAACATACATACTGCACATAGATGAACACTACCCATAGACTCAACACTGCCCATAGACTCAACACTGCCCATAGACTCAACACTACCCATAGACTAACACTGCCCATAGACTCAACACTGCCCATAGACTCAACACTGCCCATAGACTCAACACTGCCCATAGACTCAACACTGCCCACAGACTCAACACTGCCCATAGACTCAACACTACCCATAGATTAACACATCCCATAGACTCAACGCTGCCCATAGACGCAACACTGCCCATAGACTCAACACTGCCCATAGACTCAACACTGCCCATAGACTCAACACTGCCCATAGACTCAACACTGCACCATAGACTCAACACTACCCATAGACTCAACACTGCCCATAGACTCAACACTGCCCATAGACTCAACACTGCCCATAGACTCAACACTGCACCAAAGACTCAACACTGCCAATAGACTCAACACTGCCCATAGACTCAACACTGCCCATAGACTCAACACTGCCCATAGACTCAACACTGCCCATAGACTCAACACTACCCATAGACTCAACACTGCCCATAGACTCAGCACTACCCATAGACTCAACACTACCCATAGACTCAACACTACCCATAGACTCAACACTGCCCATAGACTCAACACTGCCCATAGACTCAACACTACCCATAGATTAACACATCCCATAGACTCAACACTGCCCATAGACTCAACACTGCACCTCTGATTTGCACGGTTGGCTACGCACGGTACGAAAGAAGTTCAACGTGCATACGTGCTCATTCAGGAAGCGATCGTAGTGCCCAGTACAACGATCGCAATTCCAGAACGAATCGACGATTTTTACGAGCAGCAGCCCAGCCCCTCGGATCTTGAGGGGCCCCCCCACCACCACAGCCCCCCCCCCCCCACCACAGCCCCCCACCACAGCCCCCACACCCCCCGCACTCACCCAGGGCTTTGATTTATAATGGTCGAGATGCACGTTTGTAGCACTGTGATAAATCCGATCGGTAATTTTGGTAATTTAAGACATTGGTTCGCTCTGCGTGTGTGTGTGTGCGCGCGTGCCCTACTTAGCGGCTTTAAGGCGGCAGGTCGACGCGGTGGTGACACTTGCGCCTCGCAGCAAGAAGAGTGTGGGTTCGATTCCCGACTCGGAGCGCATCTCTCTCTCTCTGTGTGTGTGTGGAGGTTTGCGTGTTTTGTCGCTCTCCCCGCCGCGGTTCTGCGTGGGTTTCCTCCGTGTTCTCCGGCTCCCTTCCCGTCGATAAAAACAAAACAACAACAACAACCGCCATTCGCCACTACGTGTAGCGGTGACATCACCACGGCGCTTGTGCCAGGCTAGGTGCACTTTCATGGCACGTGAAGTGTCGAACGCCCGCTGGCAGGAGGTCACGGGACAGACCCAGCAGGTGCCGTGGGTTGACCGACTGAGATGACTGGTCGATGTACCACCACCTGTGTTTCCCGCTGTGTCAAAACACACACACACAGCGGAAACTGGCATCAGCCAAAACCATCCCCTCTGTGCGGGCATTTGAAACTAATAGCTGCACATTGCTCAATAGCGATCACGCAGCAACAGCAGCAGCATCGCGAATTCCTGGGAGGTGCAAACTGAAAAAATTAACCCGTAAAAACAAAGTTTTTCACTATAAATCCTTTATATGCGTGGCATCGGTTTTATTTTATTATTCATTTCTGTTTTTCTTGAGTAACAGTTTCATTTTTATCACATTGGTATTTTAAATTAAATATAAGGAAAGTCGTATATAAGGATTATAAGGTTTTCAGTTTTTGTATGATTGTTTATATTGTACATTTTTGTTGTTTTCTTGAATAACTTTCTGTGTTTAGGAAAAATATATGATTGTGTTAGTGACATTTTTTTTTCCTAAAAAGTGGAAAATTTTGGAAAAAAATTTTCACGAAAATAAATTGTCACGCACAACGAGTCTGTGTGCAAAATGTCAGCTCGATTGGATCACGGGAAGTGGGTTAAAAAACGACCGAAAGATTTGCACGGTCGTAAGCGCGCAAGCAAGCAAGCAAGTGAACTTAAAATAAAGGATTTAAATAGAGACTTGAGAATCAGTGAGGCTCTCCTGAGTAAAAAAAATGTGGAATAATAAAAATGAAATCTATAAATAATCTAGCTTTTATTTTACCAGATTAAGGTCCACTGCGCTGCATAGCTCTTTTTCAGAAGCGACTTGGCCACAAATTATAGCCCAACGAAATGGCTCATCATCATCATCACGTGGAATTGTATAGCAGCCAAATACTTTAACACGTAGCAGGCTTTCGCGACCAATATTATTCATAATGAAGGCGTTTGGGTCAGATCGCGTTATTTATAAATGTGTCGTAACCCTCCACCACCCGACACGGCCAAACAGTAAAAAATGTGTCACGTTGACAAAAGACAAAATAGTTCACTACTTTAGCCCACCGGTGTGTTGAAGAGTGAATCCACAACATTTACAATTTTTGAGCACGACGTTTCGCTGGTAATTACATCCAGTTCATAATATAGGTTTTTGGGTCAGATCGCGTTATTTATAAATGTATCGTAACCCTCCACCACCCGACACGGCCAAACAGTAAAAAATGTGTCACGTTTTTCAAAGGACAAATTAATTCACTTCTTTAGCCCACCGGTGTGCTGAAGAGAGAATCAACAGCATTTTAAAATGTGAGTAGTGCGACGTTTCGCTGGTAATTACAATCGGCTTCATCGGGCAAGAATGGTGAAGCTCTCCTGTTGCTTCCGGTCTTAAATAGAGCAGCAGCATCAGGGTGACGTCATCATTCAATTAAATTCAATCTGGTGCAGTGATTCGAGGCAAGGTGGGTATTGTAATTATATAGATTGGTAATCATTCAATTGTTATTCATTGGTATTTGTTTCCCTTATAAGGAATTGTAATTGTATTTATTTGATAATACGCTTCCAAATACTCTAAAGCGCGTGTCGTTGATTCTAAATGTGGAGGGCAAAAACCGAACGACCCTAAGACGAATCCACGCGACCACAGGGGAGAGAGAGACACGCACAGACTCCAAATATACTGTAATGGGCATCCCCTGTTACAAATGATCGTGCAACGAAGTGGCTTATCATCACGTGAAAATTTATAGCCGCCAAATACTCTTTAGACGCGTGCCGTTGATTCTAAATGTGAGACAAATCCACGCGACCACAGGGGAGAGTGAGAGATACGCAGACTCCAAATATACTGTAATGGGCATACACTATTCACTGTAGCCATGATTTATGTCTCGCCTTGTGGGATATCTCCGCAGACCGCCGCGATTGTGGGGAAATTTAAGGTCAAGTTCAGGGTCATGATGTCCGACCTGGTGATCCTGGAGAAGATTCAACGCGGTCTCACCGGCGCGCAAGTCAGAATCAAAACCGAGGTGAGCCGAATGCCAACTCAACCGCCGTCATGATCACCACCATCGTTACCATCGTTACCATCATCACCACCACCACCACGATGATCACCACCATTGTTACCATCATCACCACCAGCAGCACCGCCACCATGATCACCGCTATCACGACCTTCTTCATCAACGTCATGATCACCACCACCACCACCACGATGATCACCACCATCACTACCATCATCACCACCAGCACCACAGCCACCATGATCACCGCTATCACTACCATCATCATCATCATCATCACCACTACTCCCACCATCCCGCGATCACCGCCACCACCACCACCACCACGATGATCACCACCATCACTACCATCATCACCACGAGCACCACAGCCACCATGATCACCACTATCACTACCATCATCATCACCACTACTCCCACCACCACGATCGCTACCGCCACGACCATCATCACCACCATCCCCCGCGATCACCGCCACCACCACCACCACGATGATTACCACCATCACTACCATCATCATCACCACCGTCACCACCGCCACCACCACCACCACCACCACAATCACCACCGTCATCACCTCCGCTGCCACAATCACAACTCGCGACACCGAAGCGGCGTGGTGTCGCGGGTTCACGCCGTCATTATTTACACTGCGGGGAGTCAAGGTGCGTTCATCTGCAATCGCCGTGGCACAAAGCAAGCTCGGCCTCCAATTAAGGTGTAATGAATGGGGGGGAGGGAGGGGAGGAGGGAGCGGTGGGGGGGGGGGGAGGGCATTCGAGCAGAGGCTTAATGAGAGGCAAATCAAATCTGAGAGAGGTTTACACAGAGAATGAGGCACTGTGTGTGTGTGTTTACATGCACGCGGAGTGAACCCAAAGACAAAGATCCCCCTCGTAGCCTCTTAACAAGCAGCTGGAGCAAGTGCTGTTAGCGAGCACCTATTACGGTCAGGAAGGTGCACGACGGGGGTGGGTGGCCAGCACTGGGCACCGGCCGCCTTTGTCTCCCCAGGTAGTCATTTGAGGCTGAGTCGACCTAGGGGAAGCCCAGGACCGGTTCAGATAATCGTCACTGGTGTTAGCCGTGAGTAGGAATCGAACTCGGACGGGGAGGGGGGCGGGTGGAAGGGAGGGGAGGGGAGGGAGGGAAGGGGAGGGAGGGCATTCTAGCAGAGGCTTAATGAGAGTGGAGAATGAGCGCCTAATGATTACGGGGAATACACAGGCAAATAAAACGGGAGGCGTTGACACGGGGGATGCGCGACTGTGTGCTTCTACACACACGCACGTAGTCGTAATACTTCTGAGAACTGATGGGGAATGGGCACATTGCAGGCGATTTGATCATCGGCAGGCAGACCCCAGGCTCGTCGCAACGTGAAGATGTGAACGTTATCATTATTAATGCGACTGTCAGTCGGTCGTCATTTTTAAATCCTTTATATTAAGTTCGCTTGCTTGCTTGCGCGCTTATGACCGTGCAAATCTTTCGGTCGTTTTTTGCCCACTTCCCGTGATCCAATCGAGCTGACATTGTGCCTGACAATTTATTTTCGTGACATTTTTTTTCCAAAATTTTACACTCTTTAGGTGATTTTTTAAAATTATATTTAATTACCAATTGCTTAATGGTGGCCAGCAATCATCTGACCCATAGGTGGCAGCCATCTCAAGCCAGAGGACGAGAGGACTCTAGCCGCCCGTTTCAAAGACCAATGTGGGCTGGGTTGTGGCCCATTAAACACGCATATAAAGGATTTATAGTGAAAAACTTTGTTTTTACGGGTTAATTTTTACACGCACACATCGCCCTCGGCGAGGGCCAGGCATCGGTGCGCGTCACAACGGCCTCCGGGTGACGTGGAGGAATGGGCAAGGGGAGGAAAGGAAAATCCGCTCAAGCCCGCCAGCGGCTACGCCGCACGAGCCGGAGGCACATCGTGGAAGAGAGAGAGAGAGCGCTGTAACAGGATACAATGAATCCGCGACAGAGTGAATGATACATTATGTGAATGATTTAGGCCCATACATGGAGTAATTCGGCATGACTTTGTCCATATAAGGAATGCTGGAACGGGAATCGACCGATTTTTAACGATACAAAGCTTGATCCATGCTTGATCCATGTTAAAACACATACACACAGGTGTAATAAACCTTCTTGAGACGGCTTCGGAATCAGTCCTTTTTATTTCCACTTCCACAATTTCACTTTACTCACACACTCTCCGTTGCTGGCAGACAACGGAGAGAGGGCAGACTTCCCGCCAAGTCCCCACCGCGCACGTGGCACCCAGAGCCCCCGTACGCGCGTGACCCCTGCTCTTGTCGTTCCCAAGTCTGCTCTCGATCGCTCTCTCTCTCTTAATCCCTTCGTCACGTGGTACGCCCCAGTCAATCCTCCATAGACAGCGTTGACCGTTCCCGATGGTTCCCTGTCAATCCCGGGACCACGCCTCTGATCCGGCTCCCCATTAGCTGGGGCCCCGAATGACCAGGCCAATCACCCCTGCTAACATGCCGTGATCACGCCGAGGCCATGCTCCCTGTCTCAACCCTTATTGGCTACAAAGCAGGACCGGCAAGCCAATCCCCACGTGAACCCTCTATGGCTGTTATCACACAGGTATTCAAAATATAATACTGGTAGGAACCTCCTGGTTCAACCAGCCCACAGGGGATTATTGTGTCCGTCCGTCTGTCGTGCATCCAAAAATGGGAGGGGTGGGGCTGGGTGGAGAGGGGAGGGTGGGGAGGGGCTGGGTGGGGAGGGTGGGGAGGGGCTGGGTGGGAAGGGTGGGGTTGGGTGGGGGGTGGGAGGGGTGGGGCTGGGTGGGGAGGGGCTGCTCACCCCGTAGCGCCCTTATAAAACTCAACGTTTCACCTACTCACGCCGGCTTGTGCCCGCCCTCACAGTCGGGCATATTTGCGGAATACACCACGCCGCCGTTGACCCTGGCCATTGACCGAGCAATCCAACGTTCCTACCAGCTCCCTCCGCAGGAATGTGTTAGCCATGCTTGATCCACGCTTGATCCATGCTCGAACACATACACACAGGTATTCAAACTATCATAGCCGTGCTTGATCTACGCTTGATCAATTCGCTGAATCCCCTGCTGCAGGAGTCAAACCCTCGCCTTCTCTTTCCTCCAACCGTGTGCACTTTGCGTGCAGGTTGCAGCCAGCAACGCTCAGTCGCATCGGATCTTCGGGCTCCTTAAGCAGCTGCGGGAACGGACTGACGCGTGCTCCTCACCGCACGTCGACAAAGAGGCGAGTGTTCCAAACGGCACAGCAGGTGTCAGTGGGTGTCAGTGGGTGTCAGTGGGTGTCAGTGGGTGTTAGCGGGTGTCAGTGGGTGTCAGTGGGTGTCAGTGGGTGTCAGTGGGTGTCAGTGGGTGTTAGCGGGTGTCAGTAGGTGTCAGTGGGTGTCAGCGGGTGTCAGTGGGTGTCAGTGGGTGTCAGTGGGTGTCAGTGGGTCCCAGCGGGTGTCAGTGGGTCCCAGCGGGTCCCAGCTGGTACCAGCAGGTCCCAGTGGCAGTGGGTGTCAGTGGGTGTCAGCGGGTGTCAGTGGGTCCCAGCGGGTCCCAGCAAGTGTCAGTGGGTGTCAGTGGGTGTCAGTGGGTCCCAGCGGGTGTCAGCGGGTGTCAGTGGGTGTCAGTGGGTGTCAGTGGGTCCCAGCGGGTGTCAGCGGGTGTCAGTGGGTCCCAGCGGGTGTCAGCGGGTGTCAGTGGGTCCCAGCGGGTCCCAGCAAGTGTCAGTGGGTTCCAGCGGATCCCAGCGGATCCCAGCGGGTGTCAGTGGGTGTCAGTGGGTCCCAGCGGATTCCAGAGGATCCCAGCGGGTGCCAGTGGGTGTCAGTGGGTCCCAGCGGATTCCAGAGGATCCCAGAGGGCCCCAGCGCGTCCCAGCGGGCTCCAGCCAGCCACGCTCAGGAGTTCTTCCCGCGAATCCGACGCCGAGATCCGAGGCGCAACTGAGACATCAACTCCCGCGTCTTTGAGAACAGCCGAGTGGCGCAAGGTCCAGTCTGGCCTTAGGCTCGCAGCACCGCTGGGGGCCAAGGGCTGTTAGCGAACACCTAACTCGTTGTCACGGTAGTACGGAGTTAAAAAAATAATGCTGCCCTCATAGGAAATGATAAGTAATATTTAAAAATGTTTTTTTTTAAACACGCTTTAATGAAATGTACCGTACTCGTAATGCCAGAACTCCACGACTCCAGGAAGTGGCCCCGAAACTTGCCACAACGTCAGGTGCCGTGGTGATTTACAGCCAACGTGAGTTGAGCGTGGACAATTAGACCCAAGCCGAAACATAACGTATAAAACTGAATGTTTAAAAATAATTTTTATTTTTTTATTTTATACAATATAGTATTGTCATCAGTATGACATAAGTATACCGAGTTTGCAGTCGATAACACATTGGGCAGTGGGTTAAAATTGAGTTACAAGATTTTTAGAATACGACAACAACAGACAGAGTGAGTTAATAGAAAGCGTGTAAAAATAGTGTTAAATTTTTTTTTAATGATAAAATATACTATTGTCATCAGTATGACAACAGGTCCCTGTGGGGTGGGCTGGTATGAACGAATAACCAAAGAATATAAACATAATGTATTATTATTACACTTGTTTAGCCAGGAAAGCCTCACTGAGTCTAAAGGTTTTTGTAGGGTCCTGCCAAGTGTTTGCAGTAGGGGGCGATGTTGCTACACCTAATCGGACATCGGACGGACGGACGGACGATATAATCTATTGTAGGCTGGTTCACTTTGTTCCTACCAGTATAAGTATACCAAGTATGCAGTCGATAACACATTGGGAAGTGGGTTAAAATTGAGTTACAACATTTGAGGATACGACAACAACAACGACAACAACAGACAGAGTGAGTTAAATAAAAGCGCGTAAAAATATAAATCTATAATATGCAAAGTTACCGGTAAAGGTTCTTCTTCATAGCAGAGCGAGAGTGAGGCCGGACAGATTGAGTAGTGGTTGAGGATTGCAAAACGTACGTGCGTTTAACTTCTTTCGCACACTGCCGTCCGTAGCGAAACCGCGCTAATCGGAGTTGCGGGGGAATGACAACAAACTAAACACAGAAACAGTCATGATGACGGACGCTTGTGTTGCACCCGAAACGTCGTGATTTATTTTATTTTCTACCCACGTGACTTTACCGAAAGAACCAAAGAGTTTGGATTCCTGCAGTCACGAAAGCTTAAAATCAAGACAGAAACAGTTCTAAATGATGTTCTTGGTTCTTTCCGTAAAGTCACGTAGAATGGAAATAATAAAATAATCAAAATGAAACATAATAAAATACAATTCTCACGACGTTTCGGCCACAACGCAAGCAGCCGTTTATCGGCCCAGCGTCTGAATGACGCTGTCTTTCCGACAGACCTGTTCTTCACCTGAGGACGGCTGCTTGAATTAGTTTGTAAATCTCGATAATGATTTAAAAGTGCATAGCTCTTAGTGGCTTTCTAATATCGGAAGGAAGAGCGTTCCAGACGGCCACAGAAGCGCATCTGAAAGTGCGGCTCGATGCAGCGGTGGCCACCGTCTTTGTTTGATGGCTGAGCCAAAAGCCGGAGTTGGCATGATGATGGTTTACTCTCCTTGACGAGACCACCGAGTTATCGCGGTTAATTCGTGGTGAGAACTTTGCACCCGGTCGAGAAAGAGAGAAAGAGAGAGACGCAGTGAAGGAAAGTTAGAGACTGCACTCATACACACCGCGGGGGCCATGATAACATTTTAGCTTAAGAATGTTTCCAGACGAATAGTCTCAAATTGGCTCACGAACAGTTTCACCGTCGGAGGATACTTACACATTTATTCACAGACGAACAAACCAGCTTCCGAAAAGTCAATAGCCCAAAGTGATTGTATGCTCAAACGAGCGCTGATGCATCGGTGATCAACTCCCCGCTTACAGAGCTTCAAAGTTCAAAAGTTCATGTATTAGGTATAGCCCTGTGAGCCATTCGGCTCTTGAATCGGGTGCAACCGCAACAAACAAAAAATAAAAACATGAACAAGAAAACATCTTAAAGTGACTATGTGCAAACAGAAAATCCAAGAAAAGACAGCAAAATATTGCAGAAAAATCACCGTACATCAACACTGTGTGCAAATATTCCAGTGGGATGCAAGTCAAACAACAATAACCACAAGACAACTTAGATTAAGGCCATCAGTCTAACTCTGTACTACAAAAAACAAACATGGCCAAACCAAAAAAGTTTTTGAAACGCACCAAAATAAAGCCACAAAAGCAATGAAACAGTGGTCATAGGAACTGTGACCGAATTTTCACAATAAATGACATAAACAACATGTACCACCAAACTCTGCAGCCATAGCTGGCTGCATGAGTCACTCCACAACAGTAGGAGCATCAGTCGGAGTATCAACATTTTTCAATGCACCTTTAAGATCAGCGCACTAAATCAAAACACAGATCATACTTTGCATACTTTGCAGCGATCATCCGGAGCGAAACATTTTATTTTAGGCCACTAAATTGCAGTGGCAGCTAGGGGTGTACAACTCCTGTAGAGCAGTTTTGAGTGAAGATTTCATAGGTAGTGATTCAAGTTGCAGTTTATTGGCAATAGCATTCCAGACCCTGGGGGCATCAATAGCAAAGGCCCTTCGACCTGAGCTCGTGGTGTAAGTTCCACGTTCCTAAGACAGGGGTTAGTCCATACGTAGGCTAAAACCGCTGTTTACTTCACAGAGTGGCGCCGATTTTATTGACCCAGGAGGTATGATGGGGATGAGTGACCCCTCCGGAACGGGATTGTAACTCGCATCTCCGGCTTACAGACGTGAGGTCGTGGTGGAAATTCCACGTTCCTATGACGAGGATTATTCAATGAATAGGATAATACCGATGTTTACTGAACAAACAAAGTGGTGCTCATTTTATCGGCCCAGGAGGTATGATGAGGATGAGTCTGACCCCTCCGGAACGGGATTGTAACTCATATCTCCCGCTTACAGACGTGAGCTCGTGGTGGAAATTCCACGTTCCTATGACGGGTGTTATTCCATAAATAGGATAATGCCGCTATTTACTTAACAAACAAAGTGATGCCCATTTTATCGGCCCAGGAAGTATGATGGTGATGAGTCTGACCCCTCCGGAACGGGATTGTAACTCGCATCTCCCGCTTACAGACGTGAGCTCGTGGTGGAAATTCCACGTTCCTATGGCGGGGATTATTCCATGAATAGGATAATACCGATGTTTACTTAACAAACAAAGTGGTGCTCATTTTATTGGCCCAGGAGGTATGATGGTGATGAGTCTGACCTCTCCCAACCAGGATTGTAACTCGCATTTCCCGCTTCCACACGTGAGCTCGTGGTGGAAATTCCACGTTCCTATGACGGGAGTTATTCCATAAATAGGATAATGCCGCTATTTACTTAACAAACAAAGTGGTGCCCATTTTATCGGCCCAGGAAGTATGATGGTGATGAGTCTGACCCCTCCGGAACGGGATTGTAACTCGCATCTCCCGCTTACAGACGTGAGCTCGTGGTGGAAATTCCACGTTCCTATGACGGGGGTTATTCCATGAATAGGATAATACCGATGTTTACTTAACAAACAAAGTGGTGCTCATTTTATCGGCCCAGGAGGTATGATGGGGCTTGGCGAGCGAATGGCGCAGTGAACACACGGGGTTCTGGTTAACGCATTGCCCTGTAAGTTGGCAACAACAATCTCACGAGAGAAATTGTATTTGATGAAATGACACCTCCGATTCGCGCGGTTGGCTACGTATGGTGCTAAAGAAGTTCAACGTACACACTGCCCATAGACTCAACACTGCACCATAGACTCAACACTGCCCATAGACTCAACACTGCACCATAGACTCAACACTGCCCATAGACTCAACACTGCCCATAGACTCAACACTGCCCATAGACTCAACACTGCACCATAGACTCAACACTGCCCATAGACTCAACACTGCACCATAGACTCAACACTGCACCATAGACTCAACACTGCCCATAGACTCAACACTGCCCATAGACTCAACACTGCACCATAGACTCAACCTGCACCATAGACTCAACACTGCCCATAGACTCAACACTGCCCATAGACTCAACACTGCACCATAGACTCAACACTGCCCATAGACTCAACACTGCACCATAGACTCAACACTGCCCATAGACTCAACACTGCACCATAGACTCAACACTGCACCATAGACTCAACACTGCCCA